CCATTTCTGTGTTGAGGGCTGGGTTCGTTTCTGCTAATTGCTCTCGTAAATTATTCATTGTGCTGCTACATAGCAGTGCTGTGATCAAAGATGAGTTCATGCCATCAAATGGACAGGCAGTGTAGTCAGTTTCTTCCCCTGTACAGGCATGGAGGGGGGGCGAAGTCCAGATTAATTTGTACTGGGGGCTTAGATATTGTCCAGAATAACAAAGTGTCATTCCATGTGTTCAAGTAACTGATGGACATCTACCTATCTTTGGAATATTCTGAGTGTGAAGATCCAGTTAAGTTTATAAAAAGACTGCTGATCTCTTACATTGTGATTGCCAGTGACATTTCTGGTCAGCTGCATTATTTCCTCTTCAAGTGAATGTTTTTCTTGCATGTCAGAACCCTAGGCAGTCTCTCCACTGGTTTTAATGTGTCTGCATGCTATCCTGGTGCTGTATTTGAGCAGCGGGACAGCTGCAAGTACCTGTTCCTTAAAGGAAAAAAACAAAACAACTGGAATCAAAGGGATCTCAACTATTGGTAACAGGTGATGAGCTGTACTTGACTGACAAGTCAAAATAGAGAAAATCTGAATGACTTCACTTCTTGATCTGTCAGCAGTTTAAAAAAAAAACCGAACAATTACAAATGTTGGCAAAAGAGCAAGCATTCCAGGTTTATCTGCTGTTAGGGGGTGTGTGATTTAATATGCTTTCTTCAGGCGTGCTGCATCTCTCATTTGTGAAAGTAAGATCCTGGTATGACTTGTTCTGTGTCTTAATTCCATAGGCTTCTGTTGTCTGACCTCATAATTTTCATACAGGGATTTTGTGTTTTCTTCTCTTAATACATCTCAGGTACCACTGAGGCTGTGCTCACACAGGTGGCTCCCAAGGGCCTGGCTTCTGGGAGCTGCAGAGCCCTGGCTTTGGCTTTGGGCAGGATAGCAGAGCCTGGGGATGATCTGCTGCATTGCTCTGTGGTGAATGATACCAACCCTGTTTGCAGGGAATGAGGAGGAAGAGTCATTTTTTTTGGCTGGGAATTAGCTGTGAACTGGTGCTTGAGAAAGCAGGACTCTGTCTTGGCTTAAATCTTCCAGCTCCTTTTAGCTGAGGGATGGTGCATTGAAGTTTGCCAGCACTGAGGCTGGGAGCAGAAGCCTCAGTAGCTATGTTGTCTTTAAGATGTAAAAATAAACAAAACTGCGAAGCTGCACCCTACTTCAAACAGGCTGACCTAAATTTCCAGCAGTTGTAGCAGAGATGCAGATTCTGGGCAGGGAATATAGGCTTGCTGCCTTCTCTGTCCATGGACAGCAGGCCACCTTTGGAAGATCTTCACTGTGTTGGGGGTCACTCGTGCCTTTTTCCCCTCGGGTTGCATAAGCCGGGCTGTGGGTTTCCCTTGCTATGCTTGTGTGCAGCCCATGCCCTTGTTATGCAAGCTGGTGGTTCCACATCTTCTGGGAAGTTACAGCGTGATCCACTGCTCAGATTGCTTTTGTTGGAGCATCATTGAAAGCATGTCCTCTTGCTTGTCCCTAAAGAGGTCTGTTTTGAGAGCACGTATGTGTCTGTGAAGTCCGTTCGTGCTCTTCCTTTGTAGATTAATGTTCTTGTTATCAATTGCAGTTCTCCACTACTGAATTATTAATTCTGCAGTGAGAATTCTTTTTCCTGCTGTTCATTGACTTTTGTGCTTGATTTAATCCGCACAGTGTGAAAGTGGAGCATGGGAATTTTGGCTGATGTTAATGGGTCGTGCGTGTTACCTGAGTGGTGAATAAATGAACTTTTTTAATTGAGAAAAGGACACATGTCCTTCAAAGGACTTGCAGTTTTCCTGGTGAGAAGTAGTCTGTAAACAGAATTTATTCTCAGAGGCACATGGCTGTTATTTAACAGGTCTGGGGTGGTCAGAACAGCCAGGAGAGTGCTTACCATGTGTTCAGGGGGCAGTGCTGTGGGTGGTGCAGAGGGAGATGCAGGGAAAAGCTCGTTTGTAGGTTCTTCTGCTAATATGGCTTTATAACTGCATGCTGTCCTGGCAGAGAGCCTGCCTTTGATTAGAAAACCACCTTTGGTGGTTCTTGTAGGTACTGAACAGTCTACCATGTTTTGTTCTTTGTTTTGTGTGCTTTTTTTGCAGGGAGCTAATAGGAGGTGAACTGCATACTCTTTCAATAACCTTCTGTTCAACTTGGAGTACTGTGGTTCAGCAACTGAACAGATGGATAATGGAGACTGGGGCTATATGGTAAGTGATCCCGTGTGAATGTGTGTGTACTGAGCAGCACAACTGGGCTTTCAAGATCTTGAGGTAAGATTCCTTGCTGATCTGTCCTGTGTAGATTGAGGCTTCACCATGTGAGAACGAAAGTTGTGCATGTAGTAACAGCTTGCTTACATTTTCTGGAGTGCTTTGTCGTATGTGCCATTTGTGGGATGTGCTCATGTTCATATATCCTAGCTAAAATCAGCAAGAATTTAACTGATGTCTTAAGCTCACTGTTACCATTTTCCTAACACACACAGACTGAAAATAGTTTGTGCTTCTTGCCTATAATTTTAAGGACTTTCTTGCATTATTTATAAGGAAAAAATATTTTTCCTTTAAACCCTGTCTCAAATCAGACAAATACATCTTATTTTTCTCCTCTTCTCATTCTCTAAACATTCTGCTGCTGTGCGTATGTCGCTTTTTTTTTTTTTCTCACTGTCTGGCCTCAGTCCTGATTGTTAGGATTGGTGGCCAGATGGGATTTATATTGCTTTCTTCTTGCTTCCTCATGTACTATCTGGAAGCTGATGCAGACTGGTTTGCTGCTCTGCCCCCTCTTCTACGCAGCATGCTAATTTTCTAATAAATGCTTCTTCTGAGAATTAAAAGCTGGAAGGCTTTAGTTCTCTTGTTTTAATAATTCCTCTTAACCAATGCATGGATTATTTTGATTGTGAGCTCTTTGTCTTGTGCCTAAACTTGTACTGTCTTCCTCTTTTGAGGGTGAAAAAGTCTTAAGACTTGTTCAGCTGATTTGCTGTTATTCTTGAATGAGATTTTGAAAGCGAGGAGCACTGATGGACCTCATTCACGTAAACTTGTTCTTCAGGAAATGTCTCTGATTTCATTTCCTCTTCTGTAAAATATGAAAAAACTTGTTCCTCAAGTGCAGAAGTGCCTTCTGTGACAGTAGCTCTGTTAAGATTTCTAAAGCATTCTCAAAATGTGCTTTGTAAATGTTGTTATCCTGTCTAGTTGTGCCTTGTTGCTAGGTGGCTTGGATTTGTTCAGGTTTAAACATCACTGAAAGACTTCAATTGGGAGAAGTGAGGTTCCCTCCAGAGCCACCAGTTCTCAAACAGTATTTGCCATGCGTGTTGGTGAGCCTTCTTGTCATGGCTTGATAAACTCTGCGATTTCTCTCTTTCTAGATGACTGATCCAGTCACGTTAAATGTGGGTGGACACATGTATACGACATCCCTCACAACTCTCACCAGATATCCTGACTCAATGCTTGGGGCCATGTTCAGGGGAGACTTCCCCACTGCCAGGGACTCTCAGGGCAATTACTTCATTGACAGAGATGGACCACTTTTCCGTTACGTTCTTAACTTCTTAAGGACCTCAGAGCTAACTTTGCCACTGGACTTCAAGGAGTTTGACCTACTTCGGAAGGAAGCAGACTTCTATCAGATTGAACCTCTGATTCAATGTCTCAATGACCCCAAGCCTCTGTATCCTGTGGATACCTTTGAGGAGGTGGTGGAGCTGTCCAGCACCCGCAAGCTGTCCAAGTACTCCAACCCGGTGGCTGTGATCATCACACAGCTCACCATCACAACAAAAGTCCATTCGTTACTGGAAGGCATTTCAAACCACTTCACGAAGTGGAATAAGCATATGATGGACACCAGGGACTGCCAGGTTTCCTTCACTTTTGGGCCATGCGATTACCACCAGGAAGTGTCTCTCAGAGTGCATCTGATGGAGTACATCACAAAGCAAGGCTTCACGATCAGGAATACCAGAGTTCATCATATGAGTGAGCGTGCCAATGAAAACACAGTGGAGCACAACTGGACTTTTTGTAGACTGGCACGAAAAACAGATGACTGACTCTGACTCCACAGGAGCCATTTCAGTTACTAGTGACTTAATTGAACAGTAAAGCCAAGAGAGTCTGGATTTTGGCTAAAGTAACAATGTGGGCTTTTTTTTTTTTATATATGAGTATTTATTGTTTATCATTAAGGACTGGAGAAGTTTCATTCTCTAGCAGTTCTGTCCTTTCGTCCGGAATAAAAACATGCATGTGCCTGTTCAGTCAAGACACCTTTTTGTTTGAAAGAGGGAGTCCGGAGAATTAGTACAGTAGGGTATTTTGTGTCATTAACACAATTCTGACGCAACTTAAAGTGCTAAAATTACCTCAGTTTAAATGGTTTCTAATCCATCTAACTCTTTGCCACTGGGAGCAAGAAACAAACGGAATCTAAGAGGCAGATGGCGAAAAGCTGCTATCACGTAGACTAATTTAGCTTCTAAATCAATAAACAGTATTGTAATATTCTAGGAAAAAAAATCCCACCCTTTAAAAGTACTTGATAAGTACAGTTTCGTACAGTTATGACAACTGTTTCTTTCTATGCATATAAATCAAGCAACCAAATACTATCTGTAGCCATGGAAATATGATTAGAAATATTTATATTGGATTCTGAATGCAAAATGTCCCTGTGGTAGAATTCATATTTTTAATGCCTGGTGCAATATTATTCCCAAGTGTAATGCCTGCCAGCAAGAAGCTAATAAAATGTGAAATATAGAATACTATCTTGTATTTTTTTGTCTTCTAGAACTCTAATACTTAATAAAAACCCCAAAGCCTGTTTTTCAGTGCTGCAGAATAGCACAGATACTCTGCTAGGGCTCCATTCTTTTTCACTATTGACATACTTCATTCCTTTTTGTCTTAACTAGTTGATCAAGCTGTCCTCATCACAGGAAAAAAAAAGTGTTTGGAAAACTAGGCATTTTGACCAACAGAAGGATGGCAAGGATTTGTACTTTCCTGTAGAGAGAGAGGGAACACAGCACCTAAAAATACTTGTAGCTGCTAAGCAGTATTATCCCATTTTAGTGATTTATCTGATAGCTGCTTATATCACGTATGGATTTTTATATATGTAATATGAATAAGATCCTGTATCTTTAACTGTGGAGTGCTGTTTCTGATATGTTCAAGTCAAGGAACTGAAGTTCTGTGTTCTTAGCTAATTTCATGTAGCCATTCCTGCTTCTCTTGGCCACTGTGTCACTGTTACTTACACAATTTCTGGTTATGTTCTAACTTAATTCTCTTGAGAGTAGAGATTCAGTGTTTATTTTGATTGAATGGATCACATTCTCCCTTGAAGTTCTTGTCACAGTGGTTTCTTACCACAGCTGGTTTGCTTCCTAAAGTGTGGACCGTTGCTCTTCAGAGATGTCAAAGAGGGATCAGGGTTCCTCAGGTTGTTGCAGCCTTCTGAAGCCTGGGGCCTTGCATCTCAGCCCTCAGTTAGAAGGCCTGTCCTCTGCCCTATTTTATCTCCCCCTTCATGTATTTTAGGGGTTCTGACTTTTGTATTAAGACATCGTGAAAGCTTCATTCTTCTGAAAGCAGAGAAGAAAAGCTGAACTGATGAAGTGCAGCAGAACTGCTGGTAAGAAAGTATTTGTGTCGTCACTGCATTATAATCAGTCACAAGGTGTTCCTTGCAACACTTCATTTACTAGCGAATTAATGAGGGGCCTGGATCAGCCTCCCCTTTTCGTAATTATCAAGTATAATAACTAGGGAAGCAGTATTCCAAATAGACTTTATTGCAATCAAAGATTTATCAAAAGACAGTATGAATGACTCTGTTAATGGGAAAGTAATCTTTGCAGACAGAAGTTGACATCAGCTGTGTGTGATTCTTCGTGAGCCAGAAATCCTTGACTGCAGAGCAAGTTCAGAGCTCTTTCCATTCTCCAAACAAATGCATTTTCTAACATGCTTCTTAATCTACGAGAATAAGTTGTTCCTCAAAAGCAAGGACCAACAAGTAAGCAAACAACAAAAACAGGACTATTTCTGACTGGACTGCTTCAGAAAAGTGGGTACCACTCAGAGTTGTTTAGCTTCTTTCTGATTAAATGCAAATGGCTGGCTAAGGATCCTGTTTCGTACTTGTCACAATTGCAAGTAAGTAACTGATGATTAATCTCTGATTAATAATACTGATGCTTCATAAATGCATTGCTGCAAAGAGCAGGTGTGATCTCACTTAGATCACAGTCTTCATAATTTCGATAGCTTGTTGTGAAGAAGTGGCTTCAAATACTTTTCATAGGCTGGGCTTATCTGTTTGGAAAGAGAATGTGGAAGGGAATTAATGGTAATTAAGGAGGAAGAGCAGGTTATACGTTTGTTTTCCTGATCTCTGAAATGCAGAAACTACATCATATTAAAAAACAACCCACAACACTAACTTCAGCTATGTGCAAGGTCTCTTCCCCTGTAATGTTCGCTGTCCTTCATAACCAGTACACAATACTTCTCATCCCAAATGTGACAGCATACTATTTAACTTCAAAAAATGTGCTTCAACTGGAATGTTTGCTAAAGGCAAGTTTTGTGTTCAGCTGTAGAATTTCAAAGGAATTGCTGATTACCACAGTAAAAATTTCACTTAAGGCAAACAGAGCAGTAGCCATTTGCATCATGAGGGATTTTACTTTTCTCCACAATATGGATGCATTAAGAAAGGAAAGTAAAATGCTAAAGACAAAGGATGAAATCGCTTTATTTAACATTATACTATTTCTGGATGAGCATATTATTAAAAAAATAATAAACACCAGTACTTGGAAGAACTACTGGTGAATGGAAAATATCCTGCTTTTGTAGCCATCTAGAATTGTAGTGTCAACCATATAAACATGCTTTTGTTTTAGTTTACTTTGTGCAATGTTACTTCATTGTCATACATCTAAATCAAAACCATACTGGTCACTGGGGCCGGTCCAGCTCCCTTGCTCAAGCTGTGGTTCATTGCCATCTAGCCCACGAGCTGCTTCCTGCCTAAGCAAGGGCTATAGGAGGAATAACTGGAGAATCAGGGTTCATTGTTCAGAGTGAGATAATGACAGACAAGAGGTCTTACTCCAATTACTTATATGCGCATGGCTTTTATTAGAAGAAAAGCAAATAATGTCTGCTCTGGCTCATACAGAATTTGCCTGGCTGTAATCCAGCATCCATACCTGCTTGTTGGTCGGTGCCTTCCGAGCCCAATCGTAAAGCCGCTGGTAAACCTGCCCATCGTAACTGCCAAGTGCAGAATTCAGGTTCTTGTCTGTGAAGTCAAAAGCATCCACTAGTGGAACAGCATCCTTCCTAAGGAGTAGATGAAAAGAAAAAAGATGAATGTGAAAGTCAGCTACGCAAGTTCCTTGGTTTGAAATGCTTGTGCCAGTTTTTCCCCTTGCCTACGTTGCACAGGAAGCTCTGCTTTGATTCCTCAGAGGCATGTTCTATTAAAGCCCTGAGTAAAAGTCTTAAGATTGTTACTGCTTTAATTCCGTGATTAGTTCCAAAAATACTTGCTTGGTCCTGTTCAGCTCCTGGTTATGGTGTGTTCCTGTTTCTCTTCAGGTGACCTAAGTAGGATTTCACACACTTCTCACTTCTCTGCATCAGAAGCTAATCTGCTCTTAACAGCAATGAGTAGTGAAAAAGCCTTTGTGAGTGCTGTGGTAAGTTAAAACCTTATCAGATCTCAGAAGCCACATTGGTTAGTAATGAATGGTGTTGAGCAGATGCATCTGATCTGGCTGTAGTCAGAACTGCTTAGGTACCTGTTGCAAGTCAGCCATGGCAACAGAGTGGGCTATATTAGTGCAGCTAAAGCAGACTTAGCAGTGTATAATAGGTTGTTGTAGCTGTTTCCTTTAAGTGATGTTCTGACTGGGTATTTTCCTGCTTTTGCTTTGCTGCAAATGGTATATTCAGGTTTTCTTGCTTTATACCTCAGGATTTCACGTTACTGAACTTTAATCTAGTGATTGTATGGGAACTGAAATCTTAGATGTATTTTGCTCTGAAAATGAGCTTTGTGTAGATGTTTTAGTCAATTTCTAATGCTGCCAGGCAATGAAAATAAAAACTGAATAAGGTGAATTGACTCTGAGCATGTTGCCATAGGTACAGCAGTACCATTTTATATTTAATGCACAGAGAAACTGAATAGCTGTGATCTTATTGTGCTAGAATGGCTCACCGAATGATCCCCAAGAGGTCCAGGTATGATGCTGTGACCATGTCCATTTGAGCTCCAGTTATATATCCATCATGCAAAAAAATTCCCGCATTTGAGAAGATACCGTGTAACGCAAACAGATCACAAAGATGTTTCATAATGTTCTGGATGCCAGCCGTGTTCTCAAGTTTTTCCACAGTCTCTACAAAGTTTTTCACAGTGATGTAGTGGCAGTGAGCCTGGAAAACAAATACAATCAACAGTGAATGCACCTCTAAACACTTTTAGTAGGCCAAGTGACGCAAATGTTCTCACAAAGAATATAAAACCTTTTCATTTCACTGGCAGTTTTCCAGTCTGTATCCCTTGTCTGCTGGTTGACTAAGCATTTTGCTTTCATGTCTCACTAAAACAGTAGAGGAAAGGATTGGGGGTGTAAGCAGTCAATGCTGGTATGTGTAAACTTGAGAAATGTGCTTCGGAAATCATGGCAGTAGTTCACATAGTTTTGATGAATACCCCGAAGATTTTATATGATGGAAATGCATTAGCATGTGCTTGTGTCAATCTCTACCAAGTGAATTTTGGTTATATATAGCAAAAGAAAAATTTCTCTGTTGGGCTTACGGTACATTGGAGTCGGTGGCTATATGGCTTCAGCTCTGAAAACATCGTCAGTGGAAGAACAGTCATACTTACCTCTTGCTTTTGATGATTTCTGGGTCAGACATTGACAGTATCTGCTCACTTACAGAAATACTAGCTCAGCACAGCCTAGCTCCAGAGTGAGTGAAACAAGATGACTCCACCTGTTTGTGGGGGTGACTTGTTATGCTGATATTTCTCTGGGTGGGTAGTAGTGTTGGTATCTGCATGGCTTCATTCCTTCGCTCTACAGTTCTCCTCCCAGCTGTGGGTGTATGCAAGGCACACCTGCACTGCAGCGTGGTCAAGCAGCGTGGAGGTCAGCGCAGACTGCAGAACCTGCCTGAGAAGCTGGGTGTCTATTCAAGCAATTAAAATCTGTGGAGACTGCAGCAAAGCCATCACTGGTGTCTGAGCCACCTTGCTGAGAGCTGGCAGGCATTTGTTCATACAGCTGCCAGGGCAGCAATGAGTCTCGATTGGTGTGAGTGGAAAGTAAACACAGAAGCACCCCAAGAAAGCAGCAGGCTGTCATGGGTTTAAAGCTATGGTGGAGACAAGATTTTGTTACTTTCCTTGAAGTATCCAAGAAGCAGTGGGGGCCCAGATCCTCTCCCTGTGTATTAAGCTCTTTGGAAATAGTTTCTTTCTAAAGAGTCTTGCTTCTCCTCCTCCTCTTTTTCTTCTGCTCTTTTTTTTTAATTTTGTTTCTATTAAGCTTACAGCATTGAATGGTTGCTGCTTCCGCTGAGTCTGTGTAATTGAAAATCAGCAGTGACACACAGCAGACAGATGATCACAAATAACGCTGTTACTGAGAACTTGTAGTACCAGCTCTCTCTTCTTGGTGAGTTCTTGTTTGAAAAGATTAAGTAGCTGTGCTTATAAGCATGACAGAATCAATACTTCTAATAGTTTTGAAACAATTTCACTTTTTTTGCTGAGAAAATTTGCCTCATCAGAGACTTCATCTTATTGACTGAGTAGTAGGTGGCTGTCCCCTCAGACACCTTCCTCTGTGGAATCATCTAGATGTTATTGCTGCGTTTAGGTATGTGTAGGGTTCCTCTTTCCCTTGGGGGACTTCTTTCTAAGTCCATTTCAGTTAGGGTTGGCTCTGGCTGAAGCACAGGTTACAATAAGATGTTTTTCATTAAACACTGAATAAGGCTGAAATAAGCCATGGTTCTGTTTCAAAATCTTACCCTCCTCAGTTTAGGAAGAAAGGGAGACTTCCACCATAATTGCAGTCAAATTGCACGTAACCACATTAAAAAAGATTTTTTGCTTCCTGGAGTTACTGAAGTATAAGTGATTTTGGCTTTCTTTTATATTTAGAGTCCTTCTACCCTCTTGCTTTCTTTTCTGCTTAGTTCTATATTAACTCCTTGTTTTGGCAAACTAATACTGTTGTCCTGATCCTATTTCAGCTGAAGAAGAGCAGATTGCCTATCTAATCTACGTGAACTGGGAATTGCTTTTAGGTCTCTTATTTGACTTTGCTACTTTGATTTCTTCCAGTAGTAATTAAGACTGCACTTATCATCATTCTTAATTATTTTCCCCACTTTTATCTTTCCTTGTGAGAGCAGCAGATTAAAAAAAAATAATAATGCGCATGTTTCACCCTTACAATGGCTTTTCCAGCTTTTAGAAGGATGGCACTGGGGAGGCTTTCATCTGAAAGCCAGAAATACAGGGTTCTTGTAAAAAAGATGAGCATTAGCTGGAGATGGTATGCTCTAATTGCAGGCTGTGGAAAGTGCTGGTGGCAGCTTTTTGTTTCTGCCCTTTAGCCTCTACCTGGCCTAGCCTGATAGCCAAGTCTTCAGATCAGGAGTTGCTTCCTAGTATGATTTTCTACCGTGCAGACCACAGCGGTGCCCTGATCTTTGTGGTGTCCCTTGTATGTGAATACACATCGTTAAAAAGCACTGAGACTTTTTTAGGCTAATTGTGCTGTTTCCATTGCATACTGTATCCTAACAACAAATATCAGATGAGCACAAAAACGTTGCTAACCTTTGCAGCCTGTACCAGCTGCACTGTGCACTGGTTCCACGCCTCATGCCTTTCGACTCCTGACTGAATCAAGTCCTGTAGTTTAGCTGCTGTGCTGCTTATCAGTCTGGAAAATTGGAAAAAAAACAAATCCAAAACACATCTGAATATAAATATAGCAGCCCACAATGCACTCGTTTCATACTCAGACTTGTGTGTGATCACATAGCAAAATGGCTTTCTGATATTTAAAGTTGGCTCAGTATGATGGAACTCTTATGGAAAACCAAAGAACAAATCAGGGAGAAGCACCCAAACTACTCAAGTACTAAGAGATTTTTGCCTTTAGCTTCCATTATAGTTTATTAGAGGCCTCTGGATTTTTTCTTAGGTTTTGTTTAAGGAGAGCTTGCAGAACAAAGGAAACCAATAGTAACATTAGACTGATGTTACATTGTTTTGCTGTCTTTCCAAACAGAGCTTTCACCAAAGCTTTCAGAGTAATGACTCTGCTTTTTATCAGTGTGAGTGATTGCAGAACTGTGCATCTGTTTACCTGGTCTTCAGAGATGACACCTCTATGATCCATAATACTTAAGAGACCATGCACAATACCATTCTTAATTGTGTTGAATAGTTGAATGAGTAGCTGAAAGATTACAGACAGGAATGAAAGGCTCCGTGATTGCTGTGTTATTAATTGAACACAAACATCACTTTCTCAGGCATGTAAAATTTTAACTTGTTGTATAGAATTGCACAAAGTTCAATTGCCTAAAGGTTGGCAACTCACTAATATGGTCTGGGATTTACTTAAACAGTGTCATCAGCTTTGTATAGAATCAGCTCTCTGTAGAATACAGTTTTTATGTAGCACATGGCTTACGAACTTTTGATGTTCTGAATATGAAAGTTTCCTATTAAACATCTGCCACGGCTATTAATCCTGTGGGAGGGGTTAACACACACATTTTCAGGAGTAGATGGTTCCAATTCTTGTGGAATTTATTATTTTACTTCTCTTTAAAGCAAGGAAGAAGCTGAGCTCTTAACGTATTTCACTGACCTGATTGCTGCATGTTGATAGGCCTCTGTGTAAATGTCCGGGCTGAGGAAATCCAACTTGTCCTTGGCAGGACACTTCCCGGGTTTCATTGCAGCCAGATAAGTGACAGATGGTGGCACGGGCTGGCCGGCACTAGCTGCTGTGAAGCACTTAATCAGGAACCTGGGAAGAGTGTAAAAATCAGATCAGGCCACGCTCATGATCTCCATAGCAAATAGCCAAGCCAGAGGTGAGGAGGGGCCTCCCTGGGTTGGGTGGGAAATAGCAAGGTGCAGCCTATCCCATCAGCAGCCCAAAATGGACTAAGTGATGAGCTTTTGTTTTGCATGGTATTTATAGTAGCCTGATCTGTGATGGGTCTTGGATAGCTTGTCTACTGCATTTAATGCTATAGAAATCTGTAGTGATGAACTTTCAGGATGGAATTTCTCAAGAAGAGGTGATAACGAGTGCAGAAGTGTATGCATACATACACAGAGGGATGTTGTAGCACCTCCGTCTGTGGGAAGTATGCTGGTTTTCTCCTTCTAGTGAAAGCACACATTATTAAAGTTAAAGTAGATGTGGTTTCTTTTTCCTGGATTTCATCTGCTATGGATAATCATTTGGTGTTCCTGAAGCATGACTCACCTAGAATCATATCCAGCAACTATGCCTTCTCTGAATCAAAGTCACTTCACCAATATCACATAATGTCTGTTGCTTAGAAAAAAGAAACTGCAGGACTTGTATAGCAACACTTTTGCTGCACTGCTAGACAAAGAGGAAAACTAGGTTATGCAGAACAGCACCTGCCTATGTCCCCAAAACCCTAAGTAAAAGAGAGAGTCCAATTCCCACACACCCCTGTGCCTACTAGACAGAAAACTTGAATGGGTTATGGCTTGAGTTGTATTTTTAGAAGGTGCTGTGAGAAAGGAGTAGCTGGTTTTACTGGTTTTGGAGCAGAAGAGGTAGAAGTTGAATAAATTAAGGGGCAGGCTTTCAACGGAATGAATTTGAATTGTTACCTGGCAGTTTGCAGGAGCAAGATGGTGTTTTCCCCTTCATAAATACAAGAGGCAAGTATTTTAGTGTACAAGGAAGGCAGTCCGCTCAACAAAGAGTAACCGTGTCCCCCGCATGCCCTGAGGCAAATCTCCAGTCCTGACGTGCAGTACTGAGTAACCATGGCTTTAAAGCCTGACGAAAATGCATGAAGCTTTTTAAATAATTAAAAAAAAAAAAAGATAAAAAGGAAGAAAAACACAGTATGAATGATGAAAACGTTCTAAAGCAATCCTCTGAGTATGCTCCTAGGCATGAGATCTTTCTTTGCCTGCCAGTGCAGCACCCAGTCCCCATGCTGGCCTTTGGTTTCTGCTGGGATGCCACGCAGCCCTGTGTTGGGCATGATATGGTTGGCTTACACGTTTTTGGGTTTCTCTCAAGCAGCAGTGGCTTTGGCTGTCTTTGTTCAAAGCATGTTTTTAGTTTAGGCTTCCAGTTGCCAAATCTTATGCTTTGTCTATGTAAAAAGCTTTGGTTTTGGCTCAGAAGTGAATATTTGCACGTGTTTGTAGATGAAGTTGTGAAATACAGCTTTGCCACACCAGCTACTGGGAACAAGGGCTTTATCAGACAAACAGGCTTTTCAAGGACATCTCACTCTGCAATAGCTCCCAAAGCCAAAAATTTGGGGTGGTACAGCAGATGCTGTTGCTGAGTGGTTGCGGGCCTGGGACAAGGATACTAGATGATCTTTAAGGCTGCTTTCAAACCAAGCCATTCTGATTCTAAGGTGTTTGATCTTTTAGCACTTCAGCCTGTTACCTGGTGATGAGAGCAATGCCTGTCCAGTTTGCTAAATTACATTGAGAATTAGGGATGGGAAGAGGAGCATTACGTGCAGAATAGCTGTAGGAGCTGATCCCATGGTGGCTCACCTCTGGCAGCGAGTCGAAATTCCTCCCCTGGATTTCTCTGTAACCCCTGTTGAACAGCTCATGCAGGTAGTTGTTGATAAAATGGAAGGCATAGGCTGCTGCCAACTGAGGCAGCAACTTCTCTTGCTGGGTCTGGTAGTCAAGGATTTTTGCTTCTTCTTCCCTGTTGGGAGATAAACAATGAAGTATGGAAACACAGGCATGGTTACTGGTACTGAACTGCATTTTTCATTACCAAGAAGCAGTAAGTGAAAATGGATCTGGTCTGGTTTGTCTCCCTGCTCTCCCTGTCCCTGTGCTCCAGCTCACGAAGCTGGCAGACAAGCCTGATTAGGAAAACAGTCATTTCTCTGCTGTGTTGGTGAACTGGGCTGTCAAGTCAGAAAAAGTTCCACACCATCGGTCAGTACAGAGGGCAAGCAGGGACTGTGTGAGAGGAAGAGGAGAAACTCTTTTAGGGCAGCAAGTTGGTAGGTGGTGTAGCTGAAGTGGTGGCACTGCACCCTGAAAAGCTCTTGTTTTTCAAACTGGCTTCTCTGGTCAGCAAGGAGAGTGGCAGCCCCAGCTGATGCTCCTGCAAGGCAGGCAGAGGCAGCTGTGCTCTGACACTGCTTCCTGTTCAATGTGAAATGGAAATGACAAGGTTATAATTAAGCTTCTCTTAACAGCTGCACCTACGCTTGTTTTATTTTGTTTTGTCAGCAGCTTTAATTTTTTGAGCCAAATAGAAAACAGAAAAGCTTCTTGCAGCTAGAATTACTTTCTGAATGTAGAGTTTGGTTAAAAGTATGCAGTTCTGTGCTGGGTCAACTCCTGAGTTTCTTTGAAAACACTTCAGTCTAAATTATTTTCAGCTTTCTAAGCTTTTTATTTTATGTTCTTTACCTCTTCTGCTGTGTTCAATATACTTGGGGCTTCAACTGATGATATGAGTTGTTATAACTCAGCATGCTGTGCTCTTGTGTTTGGTTTGCACTGGAAACAAGCTGTGTTGTCACGAGGATCTTCTTGCTTTTGGAAGCAGATTTAAGAGGGAATTTAAAAAATCTATTCAAATGAAAGCATCTAAAAATTACAGGGATTCTTACTAAGAAAATTTACTGTTGAAAAATCAACTATGGATGCTGGAAGCTGTTTTAATGTTGCATCCATTAGTATGACAGAATTAAAATTCAGTAACTTGTCTGTTTTGACTGGGCAGTTCTGGGCAGGCTGGTTAAGGAAAGCCTGTTGTCTGTGTGAATTGCCGAGCTGTTCAGTGAGACAAGGAAATAAGCCAAAGAAGTACTGAAAGGGAAGCTGAAAATACAGAGTGATGAACACAGTGTCAGGTCCCTTCCCACCGCTGCAGACTTGTGTGGCATTACCCAGGCTTCAACTTGGACTGGCGGCGAACCACAGAGTATCTGATGGCAATGGTGCACGCTTTCATTAGAGGTAGAATAACTTCGTCTGAAATGAGGGAAATGCGTACTGAAGTCATGGTGAAATAGTTAATCTTCTGTGACCCACGCCTTATATAGGTGCCATCTGGCTGAACCTAGAATAGAGAGAGGATTTTAGATGTCGTCTTTTGATAGTGCAGCTTCTCCCTACAGAAAGATGTGTAATCTCTATGCATAGTGTACGATTAACATTGAAATACTGCACTGAGTGCAGGGCTGAGTATTCCCTTGTGTGATGGATGGAACCAATTTGTTTGAAGAGACAAACTCTTCCTGCTTTTTATTTAGGTGTATTCTACCATCTCATAACCTTTGAATGTGGAATTCCAGCTGCACATTTTCATTTAGGATTTGGATAACTTCTACCCTTGATAAAACTTCAGAGACTTGCATACACCTCAAAGGGAGACTTTTGTCCTAAATTTAGGCACATCCCAGTTGTCTCTCTGGCTGTGTGATGAGATTCTGACCGGGCAGTCTGTGATTTGAACACCTTACGTACCTCACAGAACTTGTTCAGCATGTTCTCTCGGGGGATGCGCACATTCTTCAGCATCAGGTAACCATTATCAATGTGCTCAAAATTCATTTTAGGACCAATGTCTCCTGCAATTACGCCTGCAACACGAGAAAACAGCCTATTTACTTCCGCTTGGCCCCTTTTCTCCCCATTTTGCATTGGATTGGGAATCTCAAAGGAAGGGCACATTCATCTCTTCTTCCCCAACATGGGTGATGTTGCCAGAGGGATGCAACAGTGTCTGGAAATGTTTACCTGGGCACAGTGAATGGTCCTGACGGCTGCGGATCTGCACAATGAAGGGATGCACACCGTAGCACTTCCCGTGGATGTAGAGCTGGGCAAAGACCACGGTGTGGGTTGCTGACCTTCCCACTGTGAGAAGAGAAACAGCCACGTTCCCTTAAGACTAGGCACAGTGCAAATGCTTCACAGCAGTTAATGCTGATTGTATATTGGGTATTGCCAGTGCGTGGGTCAGGGTGGGTGCGATCGACAGGTGCTGGGAACTGGAGAATGCCTAAATCTGCATTCTGAGCTGCTCTGGGCTCTAAGGATGCAGCAGGTGAGCATCTGATCCAGCTATCAATGACTGACTGAAGTTTTTCATGTGAAACACCTTCCTGAGGGAAGCCATGAATTTCACTCTCAAATTCTTCATGCTGAGACTTGTCTGTTTTCAAGGAATTATCTGCCTGCAGGTTTTGGTCCTTTGAGTTCTATTTACAAAGATTTGATTCCTGCAGAGGCAGATGTTTCCAAGGGCTTTAACGGATAATGCTGACTTCCTTCTGGCCTTTAAAGTTGTACAAAACCCTTAGATCTCATTGCCCCAAGGTGTTTGCATTTCTTATTGAAGTCCTCTGCTGGCACCTGGACCCTCAAACATGGAGCTTAAGCAAAGCAGACTGAGGAACAGAAGGAAGCAAATGAGGAAAACAGAAATATCATGCAGGGTACTTACTGTCTCCAGGCCACCACTTCATTGCAGAGATTGTTGGTGTATTCAGTATAAACTCCTGTGTGCTGATATCAAAGACTGCTGTTGTTTCCAAACCCTGAAGATAAGTTCCTTTAAAAAAATAAAAAATATCCTGGTGTATCATGAGGGTGATCAGACAGAGGGGAGCATCCCTAGAAGCTGCTATGGATGTTATTGAGCTTTTGGGATTTACCCTCCTGCTGAGAAGCATGGAACTCTGGAATTCCCCAGTGGCTGCAGGACACACCATCTGCAGAGATCTCCAAGGCAGACCGTACTGGGGCACATTGCCTGGCTGCTGGTGACCGACCCCTTCTACCACAAGGACCTACACTCACTCTTGTTATTTTTTCTGCACTGGCAAACCAAAGGCAAGCATCTCCAGCTTGCTGAGAAAATGTCATGCTTCCCTAGGATCCCCACCTGAGTGACACAGACAGCTTGAACTCGCATCCCCTGAGAATGTGGGCAAGAGCCTTTCATCCTACACTAACTGTGATTTCTCTGTAGCCTTACCATGTCCCAGTTCGGTCTGGGCATAGCTTCCTATGAGCTGATATTCAGTGGCAGGAGGAATCCATTTGGCCACCTGTTTGTCTGAGCCCAGAACCGAAATGCTTCTCATGAAGACCCGGTGGAGGAGAAATGCTACATCTCCTGAAAGCGCCCTGGGGAGAAAGCACAAGTGGTATTTTTACACTGATGAAGTTCCAGGGATGTGATTAATGAGGCAGTGACGTGGTGGCAGTTACTAGGCAGTACCACCTGCTGCATTTTGATTTCTGTGTTGTCATCTTCAACACAATGTGCAGCGTCAATACAGCATTGCGGGAAAAGTGATTTTTCATGCTGGTTTTGTTCCTTCTTTCATAACACACTTTACTTAAATGTCACTGGCTCATTATTTCATTTGCTCTTGGAGGAATTATCTGTTCTGAGGAGCAGATGCCGAGCTCCTAAAACACACCGCCCAGCTCCATTGGTCCCATGTCTCTGACAGCTCTGTGAATTCTTTGTGTCTGACTTGATGTGGTTTTTTTTCTTGTGGAAAAAGATTCAAATCCATCCTGGTAACACCTGTTTTATTAGCTGGTCAGACATGTGCCATGGGGTTGGCTGATAGTGCTTTTTAGGATGCACACAGCTCTATTCCAGAAGCTGAATATGTGCAGTCTCACACCTAAAAATAAATGGCACTGCTGTTCTCATTCACTTGACTTTACTGCAATGCTCTCAGAAGCATCAAAGCAGACACTTCTCACTTTTAACAAACGACCGTGAGCATTTTTTTATAATGGACCCGTGAGAGAATCAGTCATGTTGAAAAAGCGGGGAAGAATATGAACAAAGAAGCAGTTAAAATGAAACTGCTTTGATTAACAGAGATAAACTTAATAAACCCCTGTCAGCCCGTCCAGAAATGTTACTTTAACTCATTTCAAAGCTGGCTTTTAAATGTCTGTCCATGATTCAGGCTGCCCGACACCAGGACTTTGGTTAATGAGAAGTTCCTGCTTGACTGGTATCTCATAAGAAAAGAGCTGTGCTTCCCTGCAGCCTTAATTGAGCAGAGCACGATCCTACAGGCCGAAGCTCCTGGCATGGGGGGTCTGAGGGCAGCAAGCAGAGGTGGAGTTTTTAAAATCTGGGATGTTTTTCTTCTGAGAGAGGGCTGCAGTAATTACCAACTCCAAGAGCTCTCGATGGAAAACTTCCCCTTTATCGGTGCCACTCACCATAGGAGACCGAGCTTAACGTAACAAATTATAATCCTTCATGTGATGAAAGACTGGAAAATAACTTTGAGCGTCAGTGATGGTTTGTGAGGTGCAGGCATTGCTCTTCTGAATGAGGCTTTTAAACTTGCACCTCACCTTGATCCTACTGATTGTGTACCCCGCCGAACCGGCAGGGGAAGGAAGGGGGCAAAGAGTTACAAAGTGGAGCTCAACCCCCTGCCAGGTGTTAAGAAAAGAAAATGTTTAGGAAAGGACTGTGAGAGATACTTTCCTCCATTTGCTTACAAATTAAGTGGTGTGTTTGTTTGCTTTTAACGCAGTGTGGGTTTTCCAGACAAAGGAAGTGTCAGATTTGTCTGTAAACCAGTAACATAAGCGAAGGGCACCACTTCATGTTCTGACTGTGCTGAGCAGTGCAGTGAGGACGTTGCACTGCTGCACTCTCAGCTGTGTCTGTGTGCAGCAGCAACTTTCCCCTTCCCAGATGTGCTGCCCAGCTGAAAACTTGCAGTGTGTTTCTGTCAGGACCCGATCTGTTGCAGCTGGCCTCTCCCAGCCTGTGCTTGAGCTGATTCTTCCTGGCAAGGAAACCTTTCAACAACAGACGAGTTGTACGTTACAAAGAAAATCACCTGTAAATGTATACAGACTCAGGTCCGTCTTCGCTCCATCCCATCTCCTGCATCTTCTTCCGGACGTGAACGGCCTTTCTGACCGCTGCTTCGTACCGCTCATTCTGGCTCTGGAAGTACTGATTTTCTCTGCTAAATACCGGGTCGCTCTCGATAACGTCCACTGGAAGGCAATGAGAAGCGTTACCCCCGCAGCGTGCGCTGGGGATCAGCCGGCACACAGCGGTGCCAGCCCTACTCACCGACCGCCCGCCGCAGCCGCGTGCGCTCAGCCCCGCCGTCCAGCACGGCCGTCAGCCTCGGCACGCAGAAGGAGGCCGTCAGCCTCTCGCTGGCCAGGTCGGGGTTCACGCTGGCGAGGCCGGAGCCCTGCGTGTCCTCGGTGGTGTCCGGTAGGACCATCCCGGCGGCGCGGTGCGTTACTGGGGCTGCAGCGGGCTGGTGAGAACAGCGAGCCTCCTGCTGCTATCGCTCAGCTCTGCGGGCAGCAAAACAACCGTGCACTTTGAACGCAAACCTCTGTGCTGCTTTTTTTTTTCTCTAAAAAAAAAAAAAAAGAGACGCGATCTCCAGGAGCGTTTGGACGCTGCCCGTCCGTGTTGCGACAGTGGGGAAAGGGAAAGCAGAGGGCGCACTCAGAGCTCCACGTGGGGGTCTTAGGATTTTTATAGCTTTACTTGCAGCACTTTTCCTGCAAGAGGACAAGGGATATTACACAAGCACATACCCATGGTAAGGCACTCCCAGCGCCCGCCCCTTCCCGTCCCCGCCGGCTGCGACCTTGCGCTCCCCGTGCCAGCAGGGCTTGTAGCAGGGGCCATAGTACCAGGAATAATACACAGCGCGCATGGGAGCCCGTGCAGACTTCTCCCCTCCTCGCCACCTTTCCTTTACCCTCCCAAGGATCTGAAGCCCCGGGAGCTCCCATAGGCCACCTCTCTACGCCGCCCCTCGCGATCCCGAGGCCGCTGCCCTTTAGCCCGTCTGTCCGTCGCTCCGCACGCTGCCGCCCACGTCTCCCGTTGCTCCGGCGCGGCTCCCAGCGCAGCAGCGCCCGCCCCGCTGACGGTGTGGGTGTGGGGCGGCAGAGCGAGCCGTGCTGTGCTCTGTTCGGGATTAGCGCAGAGCTCAACATGCTGTAGTGTCCCGCCGTGAGCTGCCTCTGTTACTGACTAGCAATAAGGCCAAGGTTACAGTGATAATGTGAGAGGTGATGTGCCCGGGCAGGCTCAGGTTGGGTATTAGGAACAATTTCTTCTCCAGAAGACTGGCAATGCATTGGCACATGCTGCCCGGGGAGCAATGGGTTCATCACCCCTGGAGGTGATAAAGAAAGATGTAGACATGGCACTGAGGGACATGGCTTTGGGCATGGGGGGTGGGCTGGTGGTGTGTTTCTTCAGAACTGTCCTCGTTAAGCAGTGTGAGCAGTGACTGCTAACAGTAGTTGCACAACATGCGTTTATATATCTGTTTGAACACCAACACAATAGAAACTATACACCACATGCAACGTACACCATGCAAAAAATTGTCTTCTGTCAATATTCTGATCATCTGCATCTTCCAGATACACCATGTTTATTTAGGAGCGTGTTCTAGGGACACAGGGGCTTAGGCCCCAAATTCAGGAATTCATTTAAAATGAAAGGACACACAAAGATATCCCAAAATCTCCTCCTGGGAGCATCCACTGGGGTTGTTGGAGTCCTGCAGTGTTGGGTCTTGCCCTCTCTGCTCTGCCTGTTTTGGACTCTGTTGTTTCTCCACATCTGAAAGGATTTTTTGGGGCTCTGTTAGCATAGTGTTTGTTAGGACAGTGCTATTTGGCCACCCCTTTCCCTTCTGGACACCTGACGCCATACTGCAGCCCCTCTCCAAGCTTGATGGACACCAGGTGAAAGGAAGACACCTTGATTTTTTTCAGGTAATACCAAATATTCAAGAAGATAACAGCCAAATGTTCTCCACCTGCACTGAGCACTCAGCTTCCCACCCAAGGTCTTCTGTAAGTGCCCCTGTCCCAGGCAAGGAGTGCCGATAGCGCTGATTTCACCGGTGCATATGGAGTGACAGATTGTCTCTTCTGGAGTGCATTTCCATCTGTGGCAAAATTACAAATTAATTTGCTTAAGTTTTTGGAGCTCTTTGATCAAGGTTACTTGATCTGTGTCATAACTGCTCACAAAAACACAGCTCGGTATGTTCTGATTTGTTACTGAAACTGATAATCGATGGAGTATTGTAAAGCATTCTGTGCAGCTCTGTACAAACATCCTTAGCAAAATATTTTTCCCTTACAGGAATTTGGCTTTTTTTTCCTGCCTGAATAAATGCTCAGTGCTGCTTCTCCCTCATGGTTTTAATTACAGGCTATATGAAAAGCTTCACATTGGGAAAAGGCATAACAAATCCTGTCAGATCTTGTTTGATCCATAAGGACCATATGCACTGGATTTCTGAAATAACAGCCTCATTAGAATAAGCATGATGGATGAGAGGCTAAGAGCTGCCACGGGGACAGTGCTGTGAGATGGGGCTCCCAAGGGCTGAGACCAGGCCAAGGGTTTTGCGATGTGGTGCTGTCCAGAGGCCCCATACCTGTACTGCTGCTCATGATGTGTGATATGGCTTTACTTCAACTGCCAAGCTGAGCAGCATCCTCTGAAATGAAACACCCTGCTGGGCCAGCGGGTCTGGGGAATAGGTTAGTAGCTTCTTGACAAAGATGTGATAAACACTCCCTTTCCTTAATTCACATATAGATCCATGAACATGTGGATGGTGGACACTGTTTAACTAGGTACCACTTTCCCAGCTGACCATGCCTGTTAATTCTTGCTGTTTAAGAGCCAGTGTTTGAAGGCAGTCAGTGAGTTTTCCTGTTGAGGCTTTGTAGCAAGACTGTGAAAGAAGCTGGGATCTACCTGAAGGTGCGATTTTAGTTCTACATGTGGACATCTCAGGGCATGAGTGCCCCATAAATATAATATGCTCCATCCATTCATGGTGCAAAGGCACCGTCTATTTCAGCTTTGCTCTGTCAGCAGCAATAAGATGTTTACCTTTGTGACATGGCAACTGGAGTGAGGCAACACTGTCCTCTGGTAGAAGGGATGAGAAGCACTGAGAAGCAGCTTTGCAGCAGTACCTCCATGCCCTGTAGCCCACAACACGTGCTGCTGCCAGCTGTGACCCCTGCCAGCGTCCTGACACCAGCATGGCATCACAGGACAGGTTTTGCTGGTCACTGTAGTAGCTCATGTCCAGGGTGAGGGGCTGAGGCTCAGCAGGGAGGCACGAAGCAGTTCATCTCTGCTCCTCTTTGCCAGATCCACAGGAGCCTGCTGACTGCTCACTACACGCTTCCACTCATACCCATGCTGAGCCCCCAGATTCCTGCAGCATTTGCCTCTCACCTGGGGCTTTCATGGGAAGTTCTGTGTATTTTATGCCTAAGCATGGAACAGGGCAAACAGCTCAATAGCTATTTACAAGCAGGTTTGAAATGCAGCTTAAAGATGCTCGTGAAGAACAAGTGGCACCTGGCCTTGCAATGCTGAGCTGGTGTGGGCACTCAGGAGTTGATTTTTCTCGCAATGTTATGGCACTGTTTGTCTTGTGTGGTGCTGCAATGCCAGTAACCCGTGGGCTGTTCCCAGTGATACGTAGATTGTCCCTTTAGTCACCACGCTGGTTTGCCAGGAGATTTCCAAAGCTGCAGCCGCCCTCCTGCTGCCCTGCTTGGTGAGCCCACCTCCAGGGGATGCAGGTCCCCCAGCCCATGGCAATGCCCATCTCTCTGCTGACTGCCCTGGCTCACACCTTGGCTGCATCGTGAGGATTAACCAGGAGTTAGCTGGACGTTAGTGTGCTCCCACAACTGGGGAGGAAAGGGACATCACTTCACTCTGCACCACCTCGTGTGAGGATCTCTTCAGTGAATACTGCACCTTTTCGATCATGAGACCTTCCTGGGATGGGAAAACTTTTTTTGTGCCTTCTACTGGAGCAAGTGTTAATGACATGAGTAGCCCCAAAGATGTGGCTGTGAGTGTCCACCATGTACAGAAACATCAGCCTTGGTAGGTTTTGGCAGAAGCTATGCTGCTTTCTCTTCCCCAGTCACCGTTGATGTTCTTCTCAGATTTTCTTTGACTTTAATGAATTCTGGTGCATGGTCTTCCTGCTTCTCCTGCTCTTTCTCCAGCTGTAATAAGAAAGAGTCATCGTTATCTGCACAACCTAAAGAACAAAAGTGCATTATCTACCTTAAAAGCCTGGGTTCATAATTGCTGCATGCACTGCCCAGAACTGAATAACTTTGTGCTGCACATTGGTGCTCTCTTTTTCCAAAGCTGTGTTCACCATCAGTCACTTTCCTAGGTACACCAGCACACTAGGTTTTTGCCCCAGGGAGGAACATCTCCACTAGTCAGGCATGGGTTGCTTTATCTGAAGAGCAGTTTCATTGCCAGGATGAGGCAATGCAGCTGTGTGGGATGGTAGAGAGGGATGTACCCTGGCTCCCATTTTATGGAAGGATGCCAACACTATTCCTTGTGTGGAAGCTCCTTGAGCTTCAGCCACCCATCTCCTGGGTGGTTAGAACAGCCTGATCCTACCTGATCCAGTCGCTGGTGCCTCTTCAGTAACTCTTTTTCAAAGGGAGACTGCAACTTCTTGGCCTCTTCCTCTTCCTTCTTCTGCCTGAGGACCTGGTTTCGCCGTCGGTGCTCAAGCACCCTCTGCAACTCCGGCTTGCTGTCTACACTCAAGCCTCTGCAGACCAAAAGGAGACAAATGAGGAGCTGCTCACCCACCATCCCCCTGCCTGCCTGGCAGTCTCCAGAGCCCCCATCCCAAATGCTGCCACACTGAGGTGCTGTGCCTTTCTGTGCAGAAAGGGAAATGGGCCGTCCTACTGTCATCTGTGTAGGTGACAGCTCCAGCAGTGCTGAGGGAATTTATAATAATGAAGATTTTTTTTCCACCAGCAGGGGTAGTCACTGAACTGCAGTAATTGTACTGGCAGTTCAGCTTGCTCCAGAGCTGAGGGTTTGCAATCCCTGCCGTGCCTCAGTTTAAGCACTAATGTTTATCTCCAGCTGACCCCAGCCACTTTTCTACCTGCCTCTGCCCCCTAAATACATGTATGTGGCTGTGCACATCAACAAACCTTTGCTGACTTCTGGTCACACTTCATTGCAGCCACAGTTTTGTGTTGCTGAACAAGAAGTTATGAAGCAGAGATCAAGGCAGCTTTCAAATAGGTTATCTTCTGCAATAGGAACTGGAACTGGAATAATTTTGGAAGAAGTCACAGAAGTAGTTGGCTGTTGAGGAGGAGCTGAAGATTGCAAAGCTGCCACCAGACCCTGACCTCCCCTGGCCTGGACTGAACACTCACTGGAATCAGCAGGCTGAGGGTATTGGAATTCCCAGGGAAATATTTGCAGGAGAGGTGTTGTAACATGAGGGTTTCTGTGGCAGACAGGCCCTGGGCTTGACAGAAGGTAAGCCTGCTGTGGCTTGCAGGAGACACAGAGTTTGTAGTGTTGCCTTTGAATTTGTTACTGCTACTGGATTTAATCAGCCTGCCCTGTTAGTGCCCAGAGGTGTTGACTAAGATAAAGTTTTGTTGCACAAGCTGCTGATGCTTATTGCTTTCTGCTTCTGCCTAAGGGAGAAAGCAGAAATGGGAGCAAGCACAGATCCTCCTCTCTCCTCTCTTCCCCTCAGTATGAACATGCAGCAAACAGCAAAGCTGCCGGATTTGCTGGTGACTTAGGGTTGTGTATAGATGATGCTCCTCCTTCTCTCTGGGAGCGCTGTGCCAACTTGCTGGCTGCCCTAAACCTGCTCAGGAGATGACAGCGACTGTGCCAGGAGATACTGGCCAAGGATGCTTTAACCAGGCCGCGTTTTAGGAATACCTGCCTGGTTCAGATGACTGCGTCAGTGCTGGAGAATGGCCTGGGCACAGTCCCTGTAATTCTCCTGCTTTTGGGCAGTGCCAGTACTGAGCAATGAACCCAATGAAAGGTTGTTGTTGGCTGAATTAACGCCTGTGTCTGACCCTCATGATGAGCACAGTCATTCTGAACAGAGGCTCCGCTCCTTTTTGATTAGGAATCAAAGTGTGGCTGTGTCAGCGTGTTTTTTAGGGCATTTTGAAAATGTTTGAAAATAATCTGTCACATTAGAGAAGAGTGTTTTGGTGGGTTGCACCCCATGTCTGTGTGCAAGTAGCAGGATTTATCCCTCCCTCCAACCACAGGTGGTGCTGGTGCTGGTGCTGGGCTCTGCACTGCTGTGACTGTGACCTCCCCTCACCTCTTGTGGTTCATCAGCAGCTCTCGGTGCAGCTCCTGATGGCTCTTGGAGGCTTTGACAGGGTTGAGAAGCTTTTTAGGTTTGATCAGGTCTGGGTTCCCATCTATGTAGTCTGGGTGAGTCAGGATGCTCCCGCTGTCAGAGTGCTCCTGTTGTATTTCTGTGTACATCGATGCTGGAAGACAAGAGAGGTGTTGGCGGGTGGGGTGCACCCATGGGAGCCCACCTGTGCTCTGCTCCCTGGGTGAGAGCAGCTGTGCTGGGGTGCTTGGTGCACCTTTAAAAAATATTTGCTTTGAAGAGACATGTATTAATTAGATCACTTCTAAATGACTTGCCAGCCACTTGCTTCTGTGGCTGCAGCAATTGATGCCAAGGACTAATTAGTGTAAGATCAGCTGAGCCGGAACTGACAGCAGGAGCAGGGCTGGGCTGCAGGACTTGGGAGTCCTGGGAAGTGCTGCTGTGGCTGACATGTCTCATCAGCATTGGGTTTTGCTGATATTCTGCTGCCCTAAAAGTCAGGATTCTTCCCAGTGCTAAGGAAAGTGTAGTTCACATGTGCAGCCCAGGATCACGCTGTAATAATTGTGTGTTCTGGATGTAGGAACAAGGGCCCACTCTTTTCTAAGCGGAGGCAGGTTGGATTTCAGGCAAATCACGGGGCATGCTCACTGCTGTCATTTCCCAAGTGCTCTGCATCTCACCTTTACAAAAAAGCCCACACAAAAGCAGTGCAAAGCACAAATTTTAAGACAAGATGCATGCTGTGGACTGCGCTTTAAGTGCAGAGTGCAGTTGTGATGGCTGCAATTATGCCAGGGCATGGCCTCATCAGCGACTGGGAAGAGCCATTCATTCCTCAGGACTCACTCAATGAATTTGGGAGTTCAGTGGCAAGAACAAAAAGTACCAGAAAAAGAGTGTAGGCAGCTTCAAGTGCTCTGTTATTACAGTATTTTGGGGTACCTAATGGGAAGGCATATGGGTTGATGGAGCAGCAAGGAAAACAGCTTTTGTTCAGTAATGCTGTCTCCCTCTCTTATCGCAGTCTCATGTACAAAAGGAATAAAACCCTTTTAAAAGAGAAATCAATAAAATGAAAAGAAAAAAAAGCAAGTAAAAGCAGGCTGGATCATTCTTTCGTAGGCAGTAAGTACTCTGCGAATGTAAAGTGGATTGCAATCAAACAGAATTGTGTAAGAAATCATACTGCTGAAGAAATGATTCAGTATCAAACAACTTCTCATTGAATGTTAATGTGGGCAGTGCCCTGCTGCTCTGGGAACAAAGGAAAACAGATTGGAGTCCGTTAAGAGTGTAATTGGGGTGAATAGTTCGGTACATATTCAAAGGGCGTGGGGAAGCAGAGGTTTCCTGTACCAGGTTGTTTTCCTCCAGGATGGCAGGTGTGTTGGTGAGGGAAGGAGCTGAGCTGAGGCTGCACCTCGCCCTGTGGGGCACGTGGGGGTGAAGGCAGCGCGGTTTGATGGCTGATTGCTGCTCAGTGAAAGCTGGTTTTGGAACAGTGGAAAGTGCGTTGGGTGTTCACTGGGGTTACATTGCTGGAGTCCGTAATTCTACTTTGTCACTTTTCTGGGGGTCTTGTTTTCCATGGGAAAAGAGGCGAGCAAAAGGCAAGAAAGGAAGGTACAAAAGCAAAGGGTTGTTTTGCTGTCAGTGAAATGGGTGAGCTCCCCTTTCCCATGGCAAAGCAGTGGCTTTATTCTGCAAACAAAAAAAGGAACTTCAAAGAGCGCCGGGTGTTTTCAGTGAGAGCACCGCTCGCAGGCTGTGCTATGGGAGGTGATCTGGGAAGGAACCACAAACCTCTCGACAGGAACCCCACTTTAAATCTTCACAAGACATTCGTGTGGAGCAATTCAAGGAATGTCTGCATTTGCATTGGGGGTAAAAAGAAAAATGAGGCCTGGAGCACCGCTTGGGGTTATGCTGGGAGTAAGGAAGGGCATTCTTTCTGCTACAGGCTGGCAGAGAGAGAGCTTGGGCAAAATGCTTCTCTCACAGTAGATCTGTCATCTTCAAGACACAGTGTAATTCATGCCCATGTATAGGGAGACAGACTGCTATCAGGCTGCGTTTTGTCATTATTTATAGTGCCAGCAGTGTAAATCAGGGCAGGTCTCTGCGGAGGATTTACAGCAGGATGTCTGGTTTTGCATGATTCGGCCATAGATCAATGAACAAGCGTCAGCTCCGGCACCTCCTGGGCCACCGCCATAAATCAGCCATAGGTGCCAGGCAGTTTTATATTGTTCTTGGCAAGATATAAACAAAAAAATGCATGTGCGTTCTGACACCCTCAGCTGTGCTCGGAAAGACAGTGTGACCTTTCAGACAGATCTGCTTTGGAGTCTTGCTTTTCCAAAGTAGCCGTGTTTGCTTCAACACATTCAGCTTTTTGCTTCCTCTTAAATATTTTCCCTTTCCATGTTTCTAGAAGCCTGAGGCTCTCTAGGAAAGCTGTGTTTCCATGTGACTTCTGTGTACACACAGAGCAGGAGTGCCTGGACCGGGGGGCTGAGGCTGCTGATGGATATTGGGATGACCTCCCTGCCTTCCTCTGCCCCCATGGGAAACCCCTCTGGAGGGGCTGAGCTCTCAGAGGTGCTGGAGACCTACTGCTCCCTCCCTGGCACAGGGCTGCCAGGAGGAGAAAAATGACTTTTTAATAGCTTGGTCTGCTCTGACTTCAAGCAAAGCTCAAATTCCTGGAAATCCGTATAAATCCTGGGGAACTTTTGGTAAAATTGCAAGTCTGCAATCCTTGCCCAAATTGCTCAGCCCCAATCTTTTGAGAAGAAGAAAATCAGTTTTGGAATGACATTAAATGCCTTGGGGCTGCAGGAGGTGCCCTCTGTAGAGCATTTATGTTGAGTTTCACAACTTTGTCCATGCATGCGGGGCTGTTCCTCTGCATGGCAGCCACACAGCCTGCACTGCTCCCACTGCTGGGATGAAAATAATCCCCAGGAATGCTGTAAGGGGATTATAGGGCTGGGCAGGCAGGTAAATGGGGTGCTGCTCTGGCTGCCCAGCTCCAGCTGCCCTTCCTGAGGGGAAAGCGCTGAAGGGATCAGAAGGAAAATGGAGTGTTTTCAGTCAAAGTGTTGGCAGACTTTTATTTCTGCTGAGAACTGATTTCCTGACAGAAGCATCTGGGGAGAGGTTTTTCAGTAACTGCAGGCAATGATCAAACTGCTCTTGTTAAAAATATTTTATGGGAGTCCTTTTCTGGGCAAAGAATGAAACCTCCGTGAAATGTCATCCCTGTACAAATGGGCAGAGGGCTTTGCTCTGGGAATGGCAGCTGGGGTCAGAGTGGCACTGCTCGTAAGTCTGTGTAACCTGGTGCTTGGAGGAAGAGATGAAACAGGGGGGAATCACACTATCATAGAATCATAGAATCTTTAAGGTTGGAGAAGACCAGTAAGATCACCAAGTCCAACCACCAACCCACCTGCACCATGCCCATAACCATGTCCCTCAGTGCCACAGCTCCACAGTTCTTGAAGACCTCCAGGGACAGTGACCCCCCCAGTCCCTGGGCAGTATGTGCCAGTGCATCACCACTATTTCTGAGAAGAAATTGTTCCTAATAACCAACCAAAATGCAGACTTACAACTCGCAGCCCTGGCTCTGGGTTTGTAAGGCCACTTAGTTGAGGTTTTGTGGGCAGAAGTGACCACTGGGAGAAGAGCCTCTGGTTTCTGAGTACCTGGTGTTTGTGAATACATATTTTCAGGGAAGCAGCAGATTAACGACGGGCTGCTGAACGGAGCTGGGCAACACATCCCACAGGGAAGGAGACTGCAAGCCACCATACTTAACACAGGTTGCCCAAGCAGATTTAAAGCTACTTGCACAGGTAATTGGAGCTGTGCAATAATGTGAGTTTAAAAGCCTCATGTCACCTGAAATCAGTGATTTTTTTTTAAATGAAACTCCAAACAAAACTTTCTCAGCATCCCTCCATTGTGCTGCATCAGCAGCTCAGCAGTGTTGTGTCCCAGGGGCCTGGCATGCTCCTTTTGCTTGTCACCGGACAGCCACATCATCCATCAGAGATAAGCGTGGTCCAGAATGGAAGCAAAGAGCCTTTGTCTGCTTTTAATCTAGGGTTTTGAATAATTAAGCAGGCCGAATTCTGGTATTTATAATGCAATGAGGCAAATGTAATTTGATGTGGCCGCTGTGGGAAATGTGTCCCAGCCATGAGGTCGCTCCTCGGAGCAGTGGGTGCCGAGTCAGAAATAAACTCCATGGGGTCAGAAAGGTAAAGAACCACAGTGGTGCCTGCAAGTCTCTGCCCTGCCCTCTCCTCTAGCTGAGGGCTGGCATGTTGGTTAATGATTTCGTTTAATCACCTTGGACTGTGGTAAGCAAGGTGCTGGGGCTGGGATCCCACTGTTAACAATTACCAGGGACGCCCGCCCTCTGAGCTGCATGTGGAGCAACTCGATTCGTTTTGTTAAGCAGTGACAGATGCTCAGCAGTCCTTGCTAATCACAAACTTATTTTTAATATATCATCAAATATTTGCTGTGTGCCTTTCCCTATGTGGAGACACGCATCAATCATTAATGAATGTTTTAAGGTAGCTCAAAGGGATTTTCTGGAATGCAGAGAAAATCATTTCCTGTTGAGCTGCAGCTACATCAGCAGTACCCCCTGTCCCACCTAACTCCTTTCTAAGAACATCAAATTGTGCCGTGTGTTGTTTTAGGGAATATCTTGTGGGGATATGGGTCTGTTTTCTGGGCAGCACTAAAGTGCTACGGAAACCTAATATATCCCAAACTAAACTTAAAGCAGGGTCCAGAGACACCTGTGCACAAATAGGGGTGCGGTGCAGAACCCTGTGGGGCTCAGCAGTCCCTGCCCAAGGCAGAGAGGGGACATGGGGATGTGGGGACACAGGGATGTGGGGGCCTTTCCTTACCTGATTTCTGCAGTGTGCCCCTGGAGAGCCCAGGGGCCCCGTGCTGCCCCGTGTCCCATGACATGGGGCCAGGTGGCCGCTTCTGCCTTCTGTGCTCGCTCTGCTGGCCTTTGGGTCTGTGAGGCTCCCCGGCTCCTGCCTGGTCTCTCCAGTGGGGTGTGGATGGAGGCTCACATGGATGCTACCTCCCTGCCGCCCCACGGGGATCCCGTAGACCCCAAAAGTTGCTCCCTTTGCTCTTCACTGCCGGTTGATGTTTCTCCAGAAAATCAATATGCCAGTGGGTTTTCTCACCCCCGCAAAGAGAAGAGCTTTTGGTGTGCACAGCCTCTGAGGGGTTGTGCCCCTGCTCCACGGAAGGCGATTTCTCCCGAGTGTGCCTTAAACCACGCTCCCGGAGAAATCAGATCGGCCCAGAGGAAGCCGCACGCCCACTCTCTTTAGCAAAGCACTGCAACAGCAAAGCCCGGCACCAGGGCAACCGCTCGTGTTATCGTGATCGTTCCCGGCACGTTGCGACACCGCTGCGCCAGCACCCCAGCACCGCGCCGTCCTGGGGGCAAGGGCACGGGGGCAGTGCAGGGCTGGGAGCAGCCTGGCCTGTGCCCAGGGGCTGTCCTGGCACCCGGGGATGCGGAGATGGAGAAGGAGAGGAGTGGAAGTGCCCAGCAGCCCCTTTGGGCTCTTGGTGGGTGCTGGTGCTGCCCTTTGCCCCGTGCCAGGCTTGCAGATGCTCACTGGTCCTGGGAGGTGGGCAGGGGTGGTGTAAAGCCATTTCTATCCAGACAGAAGGGATAAGGAAAGTGGGGGCACTACCAGTTGTGGTGAAGGATGCTCCCAACCCCATGAGGAAAGAGGCCATGGTCCTCATTCCCTCATTTCCACCTCTCCACGTTTTGCTCCTCTCCATGCCCCAGTGCTGTCCCCCATCCCAGCTGTGTTTTCCATCCAAGGGATCAGTGATGCTGGATTCTTCCCTGCTCGCCCTGCAGATCCTCACTCACCTGAACTGCCACTTGTGGGCCTTCTGCTGCTGCCAGCACACTGGGGCTGGAGGGAATATTCCTTCTGGAAGAGAAGAAAGGAGGGAATGGGCAAGGACTGTGCAGGTATTGCCCTATTGCCCCAGAGGGTGAGATGGAGAGCTGGTGGCTCTGGCACCTCTGACATCACACCAGCACCTCTCTGACACGGCTCCAGCATGCCACCCAACAGCCATGGTGCTCAGTGCCATGCCAGGCTTTAAATGTGCTCAGCTCCTCTGGCCCTGCTGGGCTGTGTTGCTATTAAATCTCCACTCCCAGCTCTGGGTGGGAGGGAGCACCTCTGTCAGCTTTACTCAGGTTCCCAAACCTGCATAAGTGCAATGGGAACTGTGGTGGTGACCAATTCAAGGCAATTAGTGGATTTAAACACAGTAAAGCAATATAAATAGTAGGTAGTCTCACTTTGTATTTTATTGGTCTGTTACTCCCCATATTTCAGTGCATCTCCCCTGACATTAGGGACATTAGTGGGCACAGCACTGATGGGTTGATGGTTGGACCAGGTGATCTCAGTGATCTTTTCCAAACTTTATGATTCTATGATTCTGTGACTCCAATGCATGTCAGAGAGCTTCTGCATCAATTTATGGAGGCATTTCTGCATACGTAGGCTGCCTTGAACTTCTGGCTCTGGGCAGGAATCCTGCTCTCCAGCTCCAGATCCTGCAGCTTAAGGCCATCAACCCTGTACAAACCATTGATCAGTGGTCCTGCACGTGGGTGCTTTGATAGCTGGATGGCTGGTGATTTGGGATCATGTTTGTGCTGAAAGCAGTTAGAGAAATCTTGGAAAGGGAGTGGAGGGTGGCTTCAGATACACTAAGATGGATACAAGTGCCATTAAGGTGCAGCACCACAGCATTGATCTTGCACAGTAACCAAAGTCTGAGCTAATGAATGAGGCAAGAAATTGCTACAGTCAGATGGTGGCAATAAAGAGATAATAGCGTGTGCGAAGTGCCACCCAGACTGAGAACTGATCTGAGTCTGCCCTGAAGAAGCAGCAGCAGGGCCGGAGGTTGCCCAACTTGTGGGTCAGGGTGCTCAGAGCTTGGCTACAAGCTGCAACCTGGTGAGCTACAGCCAACACATCTGTCGATTGAACTATTGCTCAGCCCAGAGGCTTTGAAGGAAGTCGAGATGACCTGCAACTTGCTGCCAGATCAAAGCCAGCACTTCTGTGTGTGATGAAGCCACAGTATGTGAGATCTAGATTGCATCTAGATTGCATCTTACAGCTTCATTCTATAAACCCCAAACATCTCTGCTCACTGCTCACAGTGCTCCGTGTGAAAATGTCACTGACACGCTCCTGAATATGGAGGTTGTGTAAGCTGTTGCCCAAATCTCATGGATTATTGCTGAATTCTGCTCTATCTGTGCTCATTTGTAGCAGCTGGGAGCGATCCAGACCTTGGTGAAATCATCCACTGGAAGAAACTTCTGAGGATTAGTGAGACTTTTTCCCATCTGTGATGTAAACGCACAGCAATCTGCTGGGCTGATAGTTTGCTGCAGTCTCTGCCAAGCTGGTGCACATGCTTGCTGGGATGATCCCACTTGCTTTTTAAGGAGAAACACTGAGAAAATAGGCAAAGTGTCCCAACATAGCATGGCTTCTGCCTCCCATTGGATGTGGTTTGGGCTCTTCTGTCTCAAGGGCATAGTGATGCTCGGTGAGGAGTTTGGCTCTGCCCATTCTCTGCCTACCTCACAGTGGCACAGCACCGTTTTGCAGTTGGGAGCAGCTGTGGCATCATGCAGAGGGATGGGGCTGCCATGCAGGGTCCCTGTGCTGCAGCCTGACTAGCCCTCATAGGGATCCAGTGGTGCAGGATGCAGGAGTGATGTGGGACAGCCCAAACCTGAACCCTGCTCCCTTCTCCAGGTGGGCACACATCTGCCTGCAGGTGCTTGGGTTCACTACCCTGAGCTTGTGTTTCTCCTTGTCCCTACCCACGGTCATTCTCAGTATCATGTTGCAAAGGGCTTTAAGAAAGATCGAATTCTTGGTGTTATGTTTCATTCTTGTTGTTTTGACCTCCACAAATCTGCAGCATTTCTTAGGCTGGGGGCAAGCGGCCACCTTGGGGGTGGCAGGCACTCTCAGTCCGTGGCTTTGGGCATGCAGAGGGGGCTGGGCTGTGTCCTGCTGTGCCCATGCAGCTCCAGGGGTGCGTTGGGCCAGTGGCCACTCTGTGTCAAGCCAAGTGGAAAATTGTGGATGCTTCATGTAGAGCTTTTATTCATAAAGTTGTCTTTTATTCATAAAGACACCATTTGACAGGGATGAGCACCATACTAACCTCTGTGTGGCTTTGTCACAAACACCACTGTCAGTTGGGCAGCAACACAGCCCTCCTGCAGGGCAGGATGGGAAATGGGGACCGACTTCATGCAAAGAGATCCCAGTTCTCACCCTGCACTATGTTGGCAATACCAACATCAACCACCCAAGCATTGCTAGCAGTGGGTGGGACGTTGCAATGGGTGAGCAATGATTTTAACCTGTCTCAGGAGCTTGTCTTCACCCGGCGCTGTAGGGTTGGTAGTGCTGATGCTATTTCTGCTATTTCTAGGGGATGCTGCTGCCTGCATGGGAAGAGCATCACTCAGTGGCACAATGGGCTTTGGCAGCTGCAGAACAAATTGCTGTCATGCTGCAGAGAGACCATTAAGGAACACTGAAGGGCCTTGAAGGATGAGCTTTGCAGAAAGTGAGGCTTGTGGCACATGAGTGATAGGGACAGCATTTATTCCATACACTGTGCTGACAGCCTGGGAGCTCAGTGTCACATAAAGAGACTGCATGAAAGTAGGGAAAATGGTGTTTATAACGAGCAGGGCAGGAGGAAAAGGGCTGCAAGGGAGGGGGTTTGGCTGCAAATAGAGGAGGCAGCAGAGAAGTGAAGCATCCCCACTAGGGCAGGGATTTTGTGAAGGCAGCAGGTGCACTGGAGCGAACCCCCGGAGCAGAGGGCATCAGCAAAGCAGTGAAGCCTTTAATTTCATTAGTTCATTTCTATTTGGGGACCGCTGAGCCATCCCCAACCTGGCAGCTGCTGCATGGACATGCAGTGATTTCCATGCTCTCCCTACAGGTACACTGGGCACAGTGCTTTGGGACAAGGGAGCACTGTGGATGCCAATTGCCATTTGGGTTTGGATGTGCTCCCATGGCCAGTGCCACAAAACCATGTCATAGGGCTGCTGCTCCAGCCTTGTGTCATCGGTGTCACTGTGCCAGGATGGCACCATGCTGGCCCTGCTGAGGCCATTTCCTCCGTGTGCTCTGCAGCCCTGGCGTGGAGCAGCCCTTTCCCTTCCCATTGCCTCTCTTCTGCCAGCCACAAACACAGTGCCTCTTGTTTGCCTTATTTTATCCTGCACTTTCCAGTATAAGGGCCCAGGATTTTTGTAGTTGGGATAAGGGTTTCCAAGCTCTTGAATGGCAAGAGCCAACTTTTTCATCCAGTGGAGCTTTCATCTAACACTATGGACTTTTAAAATCTCCTTTTAACATTGCCCTGGCATTGCACCACTGCTCCTGTCAGGTGGGTTCTGCAGATGGTGTTGAGTGTGGTGCCAGCTGTGTGCCCATGTGGTGAGGTTGCTTTGTGTCTCACCTGCTTGGGGCTGGTCACACTGTTCAGTGCTCAGCCCTGGCTGCCTGTCCCATTCCCATGGAGGAGCTCAGTGTGGGCACCAGGTGCTGCTGTGCTGAACAAGGGCCATCCCCAGCACTGGCGTGCTGCCTCTTGTTGTTTTCACCCAGCAGCAGAGCAAAGCTCTCCTAATCTCAGCTCATCTGACATTAGTGTAAAGTGACACTCTTGGGAATTTGGGGACAGAAGAGACTTTCCCTGGGGAAATGGCTGCGGTGCAAACCTTGGTGCTGTTTTTGTGTGGTTGTTGGAAGGGTTTCTTTTGGGGGCTGATGCTATGTGGAGCAGTGAGGATCTGTGAGCAGGGAACCCTGGGCTGGCTCTGATCCTTTCCTTGCAACACAGGGCTCTGGGCAAAGCCCCGTGTCCTGCTGTCAGTACTGATGCCAGAGGAGGTTTATGGGAGCAGCTGCAGCCTTTGAAAGCAGCCATGTCCTTGGAGCCCCGCTGGCAGCCTTTCCAGCCCCTTTTGTTGTGGAGCAGAGCATTGCCTTGCACTCCACATCCCTGCTGCTGACCCTTGGATGCTGCTCTGCTCTGAGCCTGGCAGGGGCTCAGCTGAGACTGCTGACAGGCAGCACTGGCGTGCAGTGCAGAGCCCTCCTCCTGTTTCCCCAGAGCTGTGCCCAGCAGTGTCCTGGGCTGCTTTCTTGCAGGGTCTGTGGGGAAAGCAGAGCTCTGCTGCCCACCCCATGCACCCTCCCTGCCCCTTGGGAAAGCAGTGAGCTGTGAGCCCTGCTGGCAACGCTCTGTTTGGAGAGAGGGAGCGGCAGCAAAGCTGCCCCAGAGCCATGAGGAGGATGGCATGGATGGGTGGGAGCACTGAGTTCTGAGCCAAGGCTGACCTAACCAGCTTATTGCCCCAGCCTCAGTAATGCCATGCACATGTGCCAAGGCCTGGATGAAGTTCAGGTGCCAGTTTTGGGTCACTGGGTGCTGCTTGTGTATAATTGGGGTCTCAGCCCAGCTCTTTTTTGAGGGATTTTCATTTAAATTTCATTTTAACTTTCTGATAGAGGGTGAAAGGAGGGAGCAGAAGTTTGGATTCCTTGAAGCCTTTAGGACACTGCAAGCTGCTTGAGACTGGACAGGAGGAAAGCAGAAGGACCTTCCTAGTATTGCTCCTGACAAATTGAAAATGCATTCTTAAAGCATTCTGTAATCCGAGTAGCTTTATGCAGGTCAGGAACTCAGACAGCCCTTCTGTTTTTCCTGACCTACTGGAGGGAGCTGGGAGGGGAGCTGTGGAAGAGCTGATACCAGAGCAGGGCAGCCCGACCACATGGTGGTGACATATCTCCAGGCAAAGTGACACCCAATGACATCCACAGCACAGCCACCTCCAGCACCTCTGCGTGGTTCAGGACCTCTCAGCACTGCTCCCTCTTAGAGCTCTATGGCCCCTCTCCTAAGGGATGTGAGCTTGTCATCCCGTGCTCACCCCAGCTTCCATCAGTCGGGAGCAAGGAAGTGGTGATGGGGAGTGGGGACCAAAGCTGGGTGCAAGCTTAGTGCTGAAGCTTGCTCTGCAAGGCTGACATTTCTCCCCATCCTCTCCTTGCTGTCCCCAAAGGCCCAGCAGGGCCCCAGCACTGAACCATCAGGTGGCACAACTTAAAAGCGGCTCAGTCCCACTATAATCCCCTTCTGCTGTCACCACCTGTAGCACACAGCGAGCAAAACAAGCCCCACGTGAGCAAACAGTGCCCTCTCCCCAAACCCCCCATTCTATGCCGCACCCACGTACCTTCTTCCCATGCGCTCCTCCCATTGTTCAGGACTTCGGCTGTGCCCCACTGGCACCGTCCCTGCTATGCCTGTGGGTTCTGGTGGCCACGCAGCTCCCAGTGCCCCCACTGTCCCCACGGGGAGAGGCGGGTGAGTTCCAGCCCGTTTGCAGTGGGGCCGGCTGGGAGGGTTCCCTTCTCCTCCCTTCTCCCAGCACGTGGAGAACTCATTTTCTTCGTGCACCTCACGGCTGGCGCGCGCCCAGGCTCTGCCCGGGCACAAAGGCAGCTTTCATGCTGCGGATGCCCGGTTTCTAAGCTGGGCTCCGTATTTTGAGAGGCTGTGGAAGATTACAGTAATTGCACTTGACAGGGCAAGATGTCACAGGACGCGGATTCGCTCGGCTGCGGGGCCCCGGCACCCAGCAGTCCTCGCTTGTGGCATCCTTTCTGGCTTGTTCTCTGGTGCTTTGCTGAAATAAATTGTTACCCCAAAATAAGCAGGACAGCCCCTGAGACCCAGCTCTGCAGCAGCACTGGATTTTGCAGATCTGATCCTGTGGATGCCCCCGGGGGCTGCAGCCACCGCTCTGGGCAGGGCTTGAGGCTGCGTGAGTTGGGAACACCGAACTGCGACTGAGTGTGCTCACCCAGGTAGGCACTGTCTGCATCTCTGCAGCTTCCGAAGCAGTGGGGAGATGGAAAAACAACCTCATGTGGGGCTTGCTGTCCCTCAGCCATCACCCTTAATTAGCAAATTAAATTTGCTAAATAATCACGGCATTTGAAGCCGTATTTATGACTCCCAGTAAACTGTGGGATTTTTTATTTATTTTTCAGGCTGCAGTGACTTGGGGAGGAAGCTCTGGCCATGCAGTGAGGTCACACGGGAGCTGCACTTTGGCTCTCCCTATTGATCCAAAACTGCATGTGCCCCTGTAACACTCAGTGATGGGCTCAGATCTCTTTATAGCTGCCTGTAGCATGCTGAGACATACATTTCCTTTGGAAAGGCTTCTGGTGTTAAGCCAAAACAATACACAGTGCAGTGGGCCAGGAAGAGTTTCCCGAAGCCAAACGGGACTAGTTGTTTTCCCCTCTGTAGCTGCTGCTGGGTGCTGCTTTCCCCTTTGCAAAAGCCTTTATGGATCCCAGGCTGTTTTCAGTTTGGCTTACAAGCGAATCCAGATCCTTTGAGGGGGCTTAAAATAGTTGGCATATTTCTGCCGGCGGTGCAGCAGGGTGTGTGGCGCGAGGGCTGTTGTGTCTGCTGCGCTGTGCTGGTGCTCATTGCTGCTGCCCTGTGGGTGATTCAGTGCCCGGGATTAACGGCTGCTGCAGCAGCAGATTTAGGGATCGATGTATGGCAGGGGCTTCCCGCAGCATGGTCAGGTGCACGCTAAGAGTGCTGGAGGATAAGCTTGGATAAAATACTACAGCTAGCAGGGAAGTCCTCTGCGTTGGCTGCCTGGGGTTTTTGCTTTGGGTTTTTCCTTCTTTAGGAAAAATCTGCCGTCTTGCTGGTTTGGGATGGAGGCATTGGGTTGTGGTGTTGTCTTGATCTTCAGAGGATTTAGCTTGGATTTAACCCAGAAAAAGAGCAACAAGGTGGGCAAACGTGCTTTGTCTGCACACATTGACCAGCAAGCCATCACCGTGGCCTTAGTGTGGCTATAAGGTTTGGAGGAGGGTTGGCAATGGAGAGGAAGATTACTGGGGCCAGAACATCCCCATGTCTGTGGGCAGGGGACAGCCATGTGTGGTGCTGTGACAGTGGATGGGAAACCCAGCTGGTGGCAGAGGGATTGGCAATGCCAGGCCTGTGCTGTGCTCGAAAGCAGAGGGAAGGAGGTATTGCTTTATAATAAGGTATATTATTTAAGAAACAACTAGAAAACCTATCACAAAATGCTTGGTTTGAAGATAGAAACATAAAATGCCCCACTCATAGCCATGGACTAGGGCAGCTTGGCTGGAGCCTGGCTGGGTGCTTGCTCACCTGCACACTGCAGCTCTGAGCACCGCGTGTCCCCACAGCAGAATGCCGGTCCCTGGGAGCCAGCAGCCACCACCAGGCTTCTGTGACCAGGCCGGGGGTTTGGTCGGTCCAGAGGGGTTGGTGTCCCCATAGATCAGGTGTGCTGCCAGAGTGTCCCTTCTAATCTTGCTTCCTGGGGGCACAGCCCTCCATCTCCAGCAGCTCAGGCCAACCGTCATATTTATTTGTTTTCTGGTCATTTTTGATGTGCTACAGGAAAAAAAATAAGAGAAAGAAAACATGATGGAGTGAGTGTCACTGGGCATATCTGCAGTGTGGCAAAGCTTGCAGATAGGTGGGTGAGACATGAGAGATGGTGGCCGGGCCATGTACCTCCTCAAATGGGCTCTTGCCCTTCAGCCCCTTTGCCCCTAAGAAGACCCAGTTGTCTCGAAAGCCCAGCTGGTTCACGTGTCTGCTGCCCAGTGCTGAAAAAAGTGCCTGTACTTTGTTGTTCATCCTAAGGGATGGAAAAAAAAGCATCAGTATGGTGCTGGGTGGGTGGCTCCTCCTGTCATAGAATCATCATAGAATCATTAAGGTTGGTAAAGACCACTAAGATCATCACGCACCACCAACCTACCCCCACCACACCACTGACCCTCAGTGCCACATCTCCATGCTTCTTGAGCACTTCCAGGGACGGTGACTCTACCACTCCCTGGGCAGCAGTGCCAGTGCTTCACCACTCTTTCTAAGAAGAAAGAGGTGGCAGCACGTGGCTGTGGAGGTTGGCAGCAGCAGCACCCCCAGCCCTAGCACTGCTGCTGGTTTTTGAGCAGCTAGGGTCACATGTGGGGGCAAACTCACTTTGTGGCAGCGTCGTCATAGGTGGCTACCAGCACGATGGTGCCATCCTTGATCTCTTGGAGGAAGGTCTCCAGTTGTGTAACATCTGGGAGGAGCGTTAGGAAAAAGAAAAGGGTTTTAGTAGGGCTGTGCATGATACTGGTGATAGGAGGGTTTGGGATTGCTGCTTGCCTGCTGTGCACGACTATAAGGAGAAATATACTGCTAATTTTGCTAACTAGCTATGAGACCTTGTTCACGTGAATTAAATTCCCAATACCAGGAATGAGCCTGGCTGCAGTGTTCCTGCCTGGTGGCAGCAGCTTCGTGCACATTGCAGGAGTTATTCCTCATCCTGCATCTGCTGCGCAGGATGCTTGAGTCCAATGCCCCATCTAGTGGCACAACAGCTGATTGCTGCCTGGGGCTCGCTTACAGACTACAAGAAATCTCACGACGTTGGTGTTCCTCCTTAAAATTCTGGAGTTACCAATATAGGTTTCATGACCAACAAACGTAAAGGATGATTGGTTTAGTGGGATTTTGTTCTTCAGGCTTTTGTAAGTGAGAAAGGAGCCAGAAGCCCAGCTCAGCTGTGACCGTGACGTGTGGGCAGCCACTCGTACACCATCAGAGCCAGCCAAAGTCTGGCAGCCCTTACCTGCACACACAGCAGAGCTGCTGCAGTGCTGGTGACCGCTGGCACCGAGGGCACCGTGCTTACCTCCAGAGTACATGTCGAAGGAGCCCACCTTCAGGAGCTGCCCACTCTTTCCTAAGGGTTGAAAATTCCCAACACAGTCAGGGTGGGTCTCCAGAGAAGCTCCCCTGGGTCCCAGCCCCACGTGCACCTGATGCTGTCCTGAAGTTGGCTGTGCACAAAGCCTTTGGGCCACCGGGGCCCAACTCACCGTTCACCAGCGCTATGTTCAACCCTCTGCCAATGTTATTCTTCACAGTGCTCATGAGGCTGGAAAGCAGAGACCAGCGAGTGGCAGCAGGCCATGAACCATCCCCAGGCACAGAGACAACTCTTTCCACCATTGTGGAATGGTCTGTGCTTGGCTGTCAGAGGCCAAACTTGCCCCGCTGCCACCCCACACCCTCCCCATACTGCTTACATCCTGTCCTCGAAGCAGATGGAGGGTCCCACCACGTTGGCAGCACCGCTGATGATCCGGAAGGCGAAGTGGTCGGCAGGGCAGTCCCTCTTGTTCTTACACTTGTAGCGGGGCTGTGGTGGGCCTGGGGGGAGCAGGGAGCTGTGTGGGGGGGCACAGGCCCTGGGGCTGGGGCTGAGACACGTGTCTGCTGTCAGGGTGTGCTGTGGGGTGAGACACGTGCCAGCCTTGTGATGAGCTCATGTTGGGCATTGCTTTGTGTGAACAGAGGGCGGGTGTCACAGGGAGTGTTCGCTGCTGGCACTCATTTAAGCCCAGCCCTGTGTGAGTTTTCTGCCCTGAGTTTTCCCATTTTCAGCTGGGGTGAGGCTTGCAGCCTCACCACGTGTATAGGACCCCTGCTGGCTTCCTACAGCCCATGGCCTGAGAGCATTGTGCTGAGGCATGGGATGTGTAATGGGCTGTGTGCCCACTGAAGACACTGCTGTGCTGAAATCTACACAAGGGCCATAGGGAGATCCCCCTGCATTTGGGAGGGTGGGACATTTGCCTTGCAAGCAGTCATCATGCTCCGACCATTGCCCTCAGGCCCGGATCAGCGTTGTGTATGAGATGAAGCCAAGAGTGATACTCACTACTCATGGGCTTTCTGGTGGCACCTGCAGACACAAAGGAGAGGTCAGCATCCTACGGGCCCACCAAAACCTCTCCTCAGGGCTGTGAGTATCCCTGGACCCCTGCAGCACTTCCCACTCCCATGTCCCCACTGTGCCCAGATAACAGAGCTGGTGGCTGTGCCCCAGCCAGGGGCCGCCATGCACTCACCCAGCCAGCTCCGCAGGCTGATGGTTCTCCCGCTGTGCTCAAAGTATGTCTGCACGATGAACCAGGAGCCCAGCAGCGTGGCCAGTGGCACCAGGAGCCGGATCACGCCTGGTGGGAGAGGAGCACATGGGTAGGGGGAAGGGCATCCCTAGGGCATCCTGCAGTCCGTGCATCCCCAGGTTCCCCATGCACAGAGTGGCTGCTGTGGCATGGCAGGTAGCCAACACTTTCCTCATCCTCTACAAGGACTCTGGTCTCTTAATTAATGTCTCCAGAGTGAGTGGTGATCCTCAGATCGGCATCACCCTTCCACTGGAGGACATTATTCATGTTCCTCTCTGCATTAAAGTTAATCTGATAATTAGTTAGAAAGCAATGTAAATGCAAGTGTTTCCTATTTTCCCAGTGCTGGGAGGGCTGCTGCCCCCCAATTAGTCACCAACTACAGCCAAGCAGCTGCTAATACAAATGTGATTGGCATTTGGCTTTAAAGCAACACTCACTGGAGCAAAACGTTCCTGTCCTGCATGGAAACAGAGTAGAAAAATATACTTCGATTGCAGCTGAATGGCTCTTATGGAAGCAGGAACCTCTCAGCAACTATCACTTCTCAGCCTCTGAAGGCTTCACTGGGAAATACACAACAGCCTGAAATCTACACAAATATCATAAAAACCTGGTGCTTATACAAATGCCCTTTCCTGTGATGCTGGTGAGGGGAAGGCAGGGCAGACGGGCTTGAAATGGGCCATGCAAATGAGAAATAGGTATGAAGAGCTGTAGAAAATGGGACTGGGAAAAGTAAATGCTCGTCTCCATCCTTACCTGTCACCCGCATGCTGAGGGAACACAGCGAGGGGCTGTCACTGATCCCGCGTCACCCTGAGCAAGGAGAAACACCGTGAAGCGTGGCTGTAATCCACAAAAACCAGGCAGATGTTAGATGAAAAAGTAATTGCTCTGTTAAGCATATCTGCATTGACGAAGATCAGGAACCAAGCCACCATAAATGCGTGGATTCCTGTTGAGCACGTGCTTGTCCCCACCCTGACGTATCAAAGTCCTGGCTCCAGTGCATCAGTCATTCTGCAGCCCCTGGGCTATCCTCTGTCACTCACTGGTACTGTCCTTTTCCCAGGAACTCTTCCCTGTGCCGCTGACAAGGAAGAGCTCAAGTGGGGTATTTGTAGTCACAGCCCTGCGTCATTTCCTTCTGGGATGATGCAGGGTGAGTTTTCAATATTATGGACTGCAGAATGCCACTGACAGCTTGCAGTTTAGGCTGGCGTGGTCAGAGAGGTCTGCAGAGGAAAGTCCTCTCTTTAAATCAGAAGGAAAAGAAAAGAAACTGGTGCCAAGGGCTGGTGTCATTCTCTCTCTGTTCAGCAAGCACTTTTGTCCTCTTAATTTGCATACACTCTGTTGGACTCATGGTGATGCAGCTGTGGGCATTTCTAGCAAGAAGCAGAGTTTGGGAGCAATTCCCACATTGGCAGAGCAGCACCAGCTCTAAGGATGCGCAGCACAGGAGCACAAATGTTTTCCCTTTACCTGATCGTGCAATATCTTCACCCATGTGGACTGGGAGAGGTTGCAAGTGGAATCATGAACCATTTCCCACCCGAATCTGCCTACCTCCCTGCTGCCACCACGTCCCCCATGGACACACATCACTGATACCCACAGGGACCCAATCCTACCGTCCAAATTCGGGGTCACAGCATGGTGTGGTCCGTCCTGGAGCCCACCCTGAAGCTGGAAGGCAGAGCCTCACCTGCAGCAGTGTGCCCAATGCTCTGTGCTCGGAGATAAGGCTTGGTGTAGAAAATCTGTAAAGGAGCTGCTCTGAGAGTTGCTTTTCCTGTTTGAAGGGTAAATAAAAAGCAGTGAGTTGTAGCAGGGCTGGGCTGAAGGCTGAGTTCAGGTTTGTATGCAATGAGGAAGGAGAGAAATTTTCCTTCCTGCCTGGCCCTGCTCTGGGTCCCATTGCCAACATTTGTGGAAAATGCCCATAGCACTGTGTCTCTGCATCTCCCACAGCTCTTTCCCATTCCCTCTAACCTTATCCCTGCCAGCCTCACTGCCCCTTATCTCTGAAATCCCCCTTTGCAAGACATAGGACCTCCAGGCTGGTACTGGGTTGCATCTGGAGCTCACTGAGCTTCCCTCAAATGCAACGAGTAAAGCCTGCAGCTGGCAATGACTTCAGACCTAGAATATAGAAAGTTGCAAAACGTCCCCATTGTGTCCCAGTCACTGTGGAGGCACACGCCTGCGTGTGTGTCCCCACTGCACAGTGCTTTGCCTAACTCGTGGTTTTCTATGCATGTATTGATTTCATTGCAGAGGGAGAGAGATGGAAAAATAAACCAATAAACACTACCACTTTGGGGAAGTCATTTATTTATTCGGGCTATTTATTTTCACCTTAATCCCAGGTAAAATTCATTGGGTGAAGTCCCTTAGCAGTGAAATTGATGAAACCTGATTGCATTACAAGAGGGCAACCCTCTCCTGGGATTTCTATTATGTTCTCTTTTAATTGTTTGGATTGATTTTTTTTTTCTTTTTCTTTTTATGCTGGAAAGAGCACAGCGCTCCGCTGTCAGCCAGAGCCACTGGAAGAGAGGGAGAGAAGGAAGGAGCTGCGGAGGATGGCGGGCAATAACTGGAGGTATTTGTCTAATAAACCTGAAGCCTATTTGCTTAAAAACCATTCTCAGAACAAAAAGGTTCCTGTGTAAATATTGCTAAAGATTTCAGTGGTGCTTTAGGCGTAGGCTCCACCCAGAGCCTGCCCAGGGGCCCGGGAGATCTGCCTGTCTGTGCACTGCTGAACTCCTCACTGGAGCAGCACTGTTTGCCAGAGCGTTTCTAATTTCCTCGGCCCATAAAAACATTTGGCTGCATGCTGGCTGCTCAGTCGGGTGCCTGTGGCCAGATCTCCCCCTGCAAGTCAGTGGTTAACCAGGGAGAGGCCCTGCTCCCACTGTGGAGCCAAGCAGGATGCAGGAGGTGGGCAGGGCTGCAGGGCAGTGGCAGTGACCAAGCTGGGCCCAGGAGTGGGACCGTGGCCAAATCCCATTGTCTGCAGCTGTTGCTGGAGCACCACTCGCTTTCCCCATCTCACTGCCTTTATGGGGCTGGGAGCCCTACATGCCATGCCTCTGGCTGCTCCTTCTTTGCCAGAGGCTGGAGGCTTCCTTCTCTAATCAGCTGTACCATTAACTCCACCACTGGTAGCTAACTTTGCACACACACACAAGCTCCTTAACCGGCAGCGTTGGGTTGCCTGCGGGATGAATCACATCGGCAAACTGATAACACATCTCATGGCTGTCACCCCAGTCGCGGTGGCCATCTGGAGGCATGAATCCTGGGAGGAGGGACGGGGCCACGGGACGGGGCGAGCGGCAGAAGTGCCACCTGGCAGCAGGAGCGCAGCAGTGGGTGCGTGCTTTGTGCCGGCGCGGCAATTGGTGGTGCTGTTGCGCAGCGCATCCATCGCCCGCTGCAGCCCTGGCGCAGCCCCCGGCGCTCGGAGAGAGGAATAAATAAGGGAAATCATAACCGCTTTTACCATTAAAAGAGAAATTAGCTCGCGCCGCGCTAAGCCCACAGTTTGCAGCTCTTGCACAGCCAATCCGCTGTTACTGTTCTGCAGGACTCCTCTGCAACCCAACGATGACAAACACCGGGAATTAGAAGAGTGTAATTACTCTGTATTAGCTGAATCCACGGTATAGACACAGATCATAAACATCCATTGATTATTCCTAATTTCACATTTTTAGCATTCTGAATTGCAGCAATTACGCCTGTCGGAGGCAATTAGCACATCTCCCACTTCCTCAGACCCTCAGTCGCTGCCCTTCCTCTGAGACAACTTGGTGACTGCTGAATGAGAACTTGGAGCACAAACACCTCCCCACTGCTACAACACCCAACCCCTCTGCAGCACCCAGCCCCTCTGCATTGCTCCTTTGGCTGCTGAGAGCCTCAAAATGTGAATGGATGCCCGTGGGGACCTCTGACCCCATAGCCACAGATTCCTTCTTTATGTGATTAACAGTAGGAGTGCTTCAGTCCTTGGTGTCCTCTGCCCAATGCCAGTGGTGCTGTGCTCAATATTTTGTTATAAAGCAAAAGCAGAATTAAAAAAAGGGTGTGGATGTAGATCATGAATGTTTGCATGGGAAATGTGTGGCTATATTAGTATCATATCATTAAATCTGTTTCTTAGGCACAGTCAGTGATTTCATTACAAAGTGCAGTGGAGCATAGTGCCAGCTCTGCAGCTCTGATTTGGGCAATTAATGACAAGAGGGGACAAATCCCAGCCTTACCAATGGCTGTGCCTTTGAGGCTTCCAGTTTGCTTCACACGCACTAAATATGGAGGGACGTTGGGCGAAGCACTGCTGGCCAAATGCTGTGCTCCCAGCTGTGCACTGGGACACGTAACCTCTTCTCCCAGGTAGTGCCAATAACACAAGAAGTAATGGCTTTAAGTTGTGCCAGAGGAGGTTCAGGTTGGATGCTGGGAAAACTTTCTTCGTAGGGAGAGTGGTGATGCACTGGCACAGGCTGCCCAGGGAGTGGTGGAGTCACCATTCCTGGAGGTGTTTGAGAACGTGGAGATGTGGCACTGAGGATCAGATGCTTCTATCTGCTCCTCACCTGCAGGTTTCCAGACTGGCCCTATATTATGGGAGGAAGTTGTCCTTGGACCTTGTTCAGTGAAATGAGTTAACTTGCAGCTGCTTCTACTGCTTCTGTGTGGCTGAAAAACAATGTTTGAGTGAGCGTAGGGCCATCCTGCGTGCTGTGCTGCCCAGGTTTGCTTATTGCTTGTGGCAGGGCAGGCTTTGGGGATGCATCATCTGAGTGATGCAAACCTGCTGCTGCTTAGTGCAGTGGGGCAGAACGAGACACTGGGGGCTGCCTCAGTGGGGGGATGGCAGAGGTGGGAGCCCACAGAGATCTTACCTCTGTGCTGTCAATGGGATCCACCAACCCAGTAAGGCATCACAGTGCCGACAGAATGTCTCTGTAAAAAGTGGAATAGAAATTAAAAGTCTCCACTGAGAACAAAGCCAGAGGAGCTTTTTGCATCTATTATTTTTATTGTAGTCTGGAATGTTTGTAAAGTAGATTGCTTTCATCGAGGGAGCATAGCTTTTCTCCCAAGATGTAATTCTGAGGCTTCTTAAGGAAGATTTCTTCTCACAGAGGAAATAAAAGATAGAAATATGATGCTCCTTGACATTTGAACACGCTACTGAGAATCGGAATGGAAAGGAACAAACTCAGAAAGTATCACTTGTACCACGATCAACTTCAAAAAGTCACCATCTGCTGAGTTACTACCCAGTAACCGCATTGTTGTTGTGATGGTTTGGGACTGTCTGCATCCATAGGGCTGCCCTGGTGCTGTGACTGCACCAGGCAGAAGAAGGGCAGAAGAAATGACATTTTGTGGCATCTCAGGTCTCTGTTATTTGTCCTTGCTGATTTTATTATAATTCATTATATCAGTATCAAATTCTTTGCCCTATGTAACTCACATAGTGCTCACCTTGCAGTATTTTACTCAGTTTGGTCTTCAACTGCCCATGGACTCCCAGGAAGGTTGCTAACTTCTTCCATCAGCCCTTCTCCGGCTTCTGGTGGTGCTGAGCAGAATTTAACCCTCTCTGCTGTTAAGATTTCACTGCTACCTCTCCATATACAAAAGATCCCTCTATGGTAATACAGCTGCATACACCAGCTCATGTCTTTGCTTTCCTGGGTGAACTGGGAGCCAAGCTATATTGTCAAGGCCACTGTGCCCTTTCTTCTTCTCAGTGTGTTCGTTTTTATGCCTTACCAGTGGCTGATTTTGGGATGGCAGAAAACCTTTGGGGCTGTGGTGTTTTGTGTCTGGTGGAGAAGCACCTCTGGCCATCTCCATCATGGTAAACAGCTGTATACTTGGCCCCAGCCTGGTGGCCCAAGGGGACCTTGGTGGATTGGTGGCCACGCAGTGGCTGGTGCCATGAGGTGTGAATGTGTCTGTGCCTTCTGATGTCTTTCTGCCATTGTTGCTCAAATTGCTTCATTTATTGCAAAGTGAAACAACTCTTTAAAAGCTGAATGAGGATCTGGCACAAAACTCATAAAACCAAAGCAACAAAACCCAACAGATCAGCAATTGCAAAGCATGGAAATGGTCGCTTCTCAGTAAGTTTTATGTTTTTAAGCTTCTTGTAAGTAGAGGATAACTCAAGAAGTTTCAGAAAGCAAAGGGGTTTTAGCAGGGTGACAATGCCTTGAAAGACACCAAACAGTATCTCTATTTTTCCCTGTAAATCACCTGCCTGGGGAAGCCACATTACCATTTTGTTGGTGACCTGCTTTGGATTTATCGCCAGGAAAAATCGACATGCACTGAATTGTCTATAATCCTTCCTCGGATGGAGGGGGATGAATGAGCTGGGATTTTGTTTCTTTGTTGAGATGAAATGTAATTACTTTATGGGGTCTGCATGGTGTGTTAAACTCTGCCAATATTAAAGCGTGATACAAGTTACAGAGCTGTGCGGGTTGCTGGAGATTTATGGAATAAAAGGTATAATTTCACACTTCACTGCATTTTATTTTGAAGTTGAATGTTGACGTGCTTTTCAGTTGTTTAGATGTGTTTGTTTAGCCTTTACTCTGGGCTAAGACAAGAGTGCTGGGGGATTTGATGAGCAAAGGGCTGTGCTGCTTTGCTTTCTGATGGAAGAGCCAAAGAGTCCCAGCCTCAGAAAACCTCTTGGAATGCTGTGTGGCTGTAAACCTATTAATTGCTCGGAGCAGCCAGAGGCGAGCAGAAGGGTGGTCAGGGCTGTTGCCCAGGAGTATTGGAGTCACCATCCCTGGAGGTTTTCAAGAGAAAGGTAGATGTTGCATGAGTGACACAGTTCAGTATGGTGGTGATGGCTTGGTTGATGGTGGGACAAGGTAATCTTAGAGGTCTTTCCAACCTTATTAATGCTATGACTCTAAGGCATCATGAGGGATGGGTGTCAGGGAGGAGAGCTGCAGCAAAAGATCCTTAGCTGCTCTCCTTGAAGCTCCACATTTGCAGGATGGGGTCTGGGACATGGCCCTGAATGTGTCCCTGTAGGACAGAGCCAACATTGAGCTCAGCTGCCTCACTGGTGCCTCGATATTGGCAATGAGCAACTGCTTTTAGTATAATATTCGTGTTTCCCCCACTAATTCCCTGAACTCATCAGCCTTTTCTGGTAATAGGGTTTCTCCCTTGTGCTGATTTATTAATACTTCATGGAAGGAGGGACCTCCTTAAACTTCTTAAGGAAGACCTCCTTAAACTTGAAAGGCATTGCATTGCAACCAGAACAAAATGTGGGGTGTAGCTCTGAACGCTGTGCTTCACAGCCGTGTCTCCGTCTGAACTGCTTCATAAGGGCTCACGACCGATTTTTAGACAGTCTGTCTGTAATTATTTTCTTTACGAAGTAATTTTGGTTTCACAGGTAAATACCAGTCTCAGCAATTTCCACTTTTCATATGCAATTTGATTTAGAACTGAACATCCCCTGCCTGCTAAGCAGGTATTTATTGTGGCCGAACTCGCCTGACACATTCCTCACCTGCGTCTGCCTGCCCATGGTTACTCAGCTCTGCTCACACCGTGGCCGCCCTGCTGGGCTTTCCTGCAGACGCGCCGAAGGGCTGCAGCACGTCTGTTGGTTTTTCAAGAGGAACTTTGGGAATTTCCACGGAGACGTGGCAGCAGGTGGTGAGGTGCCCACAGGAGGGACGTTGGCGCCAGATGTTCATCCAGAACCACTGTGGTCAATAAACTGTGAATTAAGAAGGATTTACATGATTGTCCGTGAGAGCTGCGTGAGTCGTTACAGTGCGCTCAGTAACCCAGTAACAAAAAATGCCAATATGTGTGCTTAGTAAAAGACTGCAACAAAGACTGTAACTGCTTTAAAATATGATTATAGGCTATTGCACAAAGGAGAAGCAGTAACTTAAATATGCACAGGCTTTGAATGCACTTGACTTTATCATGGGTCGCAGTGAATTATGCAAGGCATGAAAAACAGTTGTCAAAAATATGGAAGAAAGATACAAAGCCAAAAGTGCAGCCATTCATTCTCAGTGGTAATGTGTTAATGCAGGGGATGGGAAACAGCAGCACTGGAAATGGGAAGGAATGCTCAGCAAACTAAACTCTTCATTGGAAAAACATTTCCACAGAATAATAATCATCCATGAGCTTTGAAATTATCTCGAAATGAGTAACAGTTTTCCTAGCCAGTCCCTGGCTACAGCCAAGGTCAGGCTGGATGGGCTCTGAGCACCTGATGGAGCTGTAGGTGTCCCTGTTCATTGCAGGGGGGGTTGGACTGATGGCCTTTCGGGTTCCCTTCTGACGCAAACGATTTTGTGGTTCTGTGATGACCCAGGGTTGAATGACAAAACTCAGTGCCACCATGTGCCCAATGCAACAAACCCATGGCACCATGGGATCCTTCCTTGGAGAGCCCTCCTGATGAGAAAGCAGCAGACAAACACTAGCACGGGATGTTTTCTGAGCTGTATGAACACATCATAAAATTACTCAGTGTGATAATAAATGCATCCAGAGCTTTAGTATTTTCCACCTCAGGTGGTAAGGCAGTCGCTGCGAATAGATTGCTGGAGCGAAGGTTTGTGCCTTTAGCACGGCGGTAGCAGATGGCCTAATAAATATGCAGTGCTCTGAAATGACGCCTGTAATTTGTGACCTAGGCTTTTTCTGGTCTCCCACGAAGATAAAACATGCAATCATCCAATAATAAACTTGTTAATAGATAAAAAACCCAAGCGGTGTAATGGAAGCATTGCTGGAAGCCCAGCAGCATTACAGTGTAGTGAGAGTGGTGCTGGGAGCCTGGCTCTGTGGTTTATGGCTATATGGGACTGTGGCTGCACCCGATAGAGCAGCAGCACCCCAAACCTATTCCTGGCTGGGGGAGGTGGATGAGGCATTGCTCAAAGTGACTGCAGTGGGATCCAGAGCATCAGAGGGAGAGCTCCTGCGCTGCTGCTAACAGCAACTTCAACAGGAACCAGAACCAACGAGAAGCACTGTTGTTACATTGACACACTCCCGTGGGTGCCATGAAACCAAGCTTTCAGTTTGTGAGGGAACTGAATTTCAATAGATTTTTTTTCAAAGTGCCAGAAAAGGTGGCAGCTGAGGATGCCGAGTTACTATAGTAACCACAAGAGAAGTGGTGATTATCAGAAGTACCACACAGGAAAGAGAGACTGGATTGTCTTTTTGTTCTGCACATAATTCATTGCTTAAAAACAATCTCTTTTTTAATATAAAGAAATGCTATGGAAAAAAAATTGAGCATGAAATGCATTATGCAAAAGAATTTGCACGGATTTTCCAGCCTGTGCAGTCTTGCCATCTGACCCAAAGTTTCAGGATGCACCAAAATCGAGCGTCTGATGTCTGAAAGATACATGAAGAGTAAGAAGTACTTCTCATGTCTTCTCACCTTGTAAACATGGCAGCAGAGGGGAAAAGGCAATGCTGCTGTCCTGAGGGGAGGAGCTCTTTGGGACAGAGGTGCTCTGTTTGGCATCACAGAGCTCACACGGCTGCTGAGGACATACAACAAGCAATGCTAAGCAGAAAGCAGTTGTGTACATACAAGTGTGTGTGAGCCAGGATCTGATTTCTGAAGGGCAAAATTATGATTTCATTGAACTCTTAAACTGATTATGGCATTAGCAAGAACAGATATAAATCTTTCTGGGATAAACTGGCTAAGGCAGGGTAAGTAAATTATCTCCACACAGTATCTGTCTTCCTGCGGATTTCAGTGCTACTCGAATCAATTGGCGGTGATATGTTTGTACCTGACACAGAAGCCAAATACACAGTCTGATCCTGTGCCAAGCTGCTATTAACAGCTGCATTTTCAATTGATTCTTGGATATTCATTAACTGGCATCCATAATTACAAATAATTTACAGACATAACATTTTAAATCACTTGCCAGTGAGCTTCGTAAGCTCACTTTATGACATTCCAATACATTATTCTTAAAAATTCACTGAGTAATCAACTTGCAAATGATTACTGTGGAACAGCTCTGGATATAATCAAGTAGAAACTCAGAGCACGAATCGCCAGAAATGTCCATAGATCACTTCTGCCATGTGATGCTGACATCCACTTTAACTCCCTCCAAAAAACTGTTACATACTGAACTGCTGGACTCCAAAGCTGCTGTGAGCTTGATGTCATTACAACCAAACAGTTTGCTTCTTCCACAGGCAGCCCCTGCCCTGTGCAGTTTCATGGACTGCATTTATTTTGAAATGCTATGAATGGTCTGCTCTGTCTCCATAGCCTTACTCCATGGTCAACACAAATATGATACGTATAGCAGGAAGAAATCACACTGTGATGCATGCAATTTCAATCTCTATGTTGGAACTCTGGGGCCCTCACTGGAAACTGCACTGAAAGTCAATATGGATGGGATACATAAGTTTTGTTCTTACGTTGCAAAGTATAACAGAAAAACTAACATAAACGTATGAGGACGTTACACCCTCTTGCCTTTACATGGAACAAGGCTCCAATTTCTGAGTGTTGAAACGATCACTCCTTACTGCCATCTCAAATTACAGCAGGAAATAGAGGGCAGCTGGTACCAGAGCCCATCCTATATTTTTTTTTTCTGATGACAAAGGGAGCTTACAAAGTAGACACTTTTGAACGTGTCTTTTTGGGCCACAGCTTGTATGTACAAAGGAATCCAATAAATGATGAATGGAAAAAGCTTTTTTTATTTGAGTCAGACCGTAAGTTAGAGATGACCACCACAAAAGCTCTTGATTCGCCTTCATTCATTCCCATGTAGGAGTTTTGAATGCTGGAAATAAATGACACTAACAAATAAATGTCTTACCCACTGGAACTTCCATGCTACGTGATTTTCCACTGCAGTACAACTTAATGTGAAACTATAAAAATAAGACACTATGTACAAAATATATTCATTTCTTTGCAAAACTACTGGTTACTTCAAGACTTAAATTACATGATGAATTATACAGCCCAGTCACACTTCAAAAACGGTTAAAAGATAAATCTATTCTGAATACAAAACAGTGTGCCCTCATGATCTGACTATGCCAACTCATAGTACTTCCCAGAATTTGGGTCAAAGTAACAGTTCAGACATGGATCATACAGAAGAGTCAGGACTTCCTCGTCTTCTTCAGCATTGAGGTCATCTTCACCTGTGTGAGGAGGGGAAAGTAAGAGTAAATCACTCTCATTCTCTTTGAAAAATAACATGGAAATACCTCTCTGTCAAATGTGACATAATTTCTCTTTAAATTGTGTAATCTTTTGACTTTTGAATCGTGATCTTCAAGATAAATGCAGTTCAGTATTTTTTTTGTATACTTCTGAAGAGTTGCCTTCAGCTGAGGTGAAATGATGTCATTCAGTTTGCTGAACAGCTGGACTTCACAAAGTCCAAGAGGGCTGTTCAGCAGCAGTACCTTCACTGAGAGCGTATCGAAGTACTCCTAAGTGGCGTCTTTCTCAACGTCTGCTTTAGTCCAACAAAGACAGTCAATCTGTTCCTAAGGACTGTAGGAATCCGACTGTGTATTATTAAAATATTCCACGTGGAAATCAGAAAATTAAGCAGCACAAACATTTCTGTTTGAAGACTTGCTGCTTGTCATGTTGGTCTCACAGCAACAGGATTCAAGTTTTTTAGCATTCATAGGGTATTTATTATTGCTGGTTATACACACATTAAAGGTAGCTGGTGAAGTATATTCAGTATATTTCATTGTTGTTAATGGGTTGAAGAAATCGTGTGACAAATAAGTCCAACAAGCTTACAGAAGAGTCAATATTGTTGCAATAAATGAGCTCATATTGACTTTTCTGATACAATGAGCTCTTTCACTGTAGGAAGGCTAATAAAAACCAAAGCAAGACTATAAGATATAGTGTTATCCTGAGACAGGACCTTTAACTATGTATGCAAAGGTATATACTCCAATTAATATTTTCAGATAAGGATTGCTAGTTGTAAATATAAATGTCTTAAAATTCTCCTTAAGTGGAGGAAGGCAGTGTGGCATCCTAATTGCTCATAACAACTGAACTGTGGGACTTCTTAGAAATGCATTTTAATGTCTGCTATCTGATATTAAAACAAAAACAAAACAAAACAATTGTATAAGAGACCTTGCAATATCAGAGAGGAGATAAGACTTTCAGACAGTACAATTTTTAGATCTAGGCTGTCTAAAGCTATATAAAATACAAGAAACTTTTGAGGTTACAGAAATGAATTCTTAGCCTAAAATACACTGATGAAGATAGACAGATTTATTACAGATACTTTATATATACTGAGGCTCCTTTTTTAAACCTGTCTTTCACATAAGCTGAATGTAAGCTATGTGATCTTTTGATAACTTTTGAGAGGAACTCATTCACAGCTGCCCACAATCTGCATTGGGTGAGGCCCTCACTGTGCCAGTCATGCCTCCCCTTTCCCACAGCTGCTAAGATCACTAAGGTTCTTCTCTTTTACTTTAATAGGGAAGATTTTTTAGTGGCTCAGAAAAAGCCCAGACTGGGGATGAAAGGTCAGGGAACTGCTCTCTTGGTCTCTTATTTCCTCCAACTCCTGGGAGAAATGAAGTGTGATTGCTTCAACTACTATAGTGGGTTTTTTTGGCCTATTTTGAGATAGAAGAAAAATCTCCGTAAGTTAACAAAGTTACAAATATCATCGTATACGTGAATCAGAAATGAATTAGATTCAATGAATGTGCAAAACGAAAAGGACAAAATAAAAAGTGATGGTACACATAGAGATTTTCTTTCCATGACAGACACATCGTGAAAAGATTTCAGCATTAAGGAAAATGAGTTGAGGAAGAATTTACAAAACAGTTTGGAAAATGTGGTGTGAATTAGCAGAAATCCAGCAATTTTTCAAATGCATACATAGCTTTATTAGCTTTTTAGAGACAATCATCCAAATGTTAAAATTTACAGAGATTCAAGCTCTACTGCAGCAAGCCTTGGATTTCATAATTCAGACACCAAGACATCAATCCACATCAAGGCACTCTCAGAGACCTTTCACAAATTTATATCCAACACGTCTTTAACTCAAGGATTACTGTCCAATTCTCCTGGGCTTATTTAGGACCCTTAACAAAACATATTATTTGATTCTTCAAAGCAAGGTCCCTCCTGACAGCAGAATTCTGTTTTGCTGTCATAAACAATTACAAATACACATCTATGAAAAGATGGCCAATTTGGGGGCCATAATCTATTCTGGGCTGTAAATCACTGAGACATCTTCATCCTCAGGCAATCAAAATACACAGGTCAGATTTATGAGATATCACATTGAATTCCCTGGACTTGAAGAAAAATGTAGGTGTCTACCCTATTTCCTAACGCATAAGTAAGAAAAAAGAGGGTTTGAAGAAAACAAGATATATGTTTTATTCTGTTGCTGTCAACTTTCCAGCTTCCACAAAGTTCTTTGTCATTCTCTAAACAAATGCCATTATGAAGAAAAAAACTGCAGTGCTTGAGGTGGTAACTCAGCAATTTTTTCCTTTGGAGATTGTGCTGAGGTTTCATTTAAGGCTCTATTTATTTATTTTTTTAATCAGAAGACAAGTACCACATAGATAACTGTTCTGGTTCTTCTGAACATCAATTTTAGTCTTTGCATTCTTTCTTTTTCTTTTTTTTTCTTTTTCTTTTTCTTTTCTTCCCCCATATTCACTATCACCAATTCCCAAATTTAAACAAGATGTATTTTTTAATGGGATTAATCTATATTGAACCAGAATGCTAAGAATCTACAACTGCATAAGTTATTCTTCTATCAGAGGCATGGAAAACTCTGCTAGTTTGAACTGAAAATAATACATGATGCTGAACTCAAAAGATAGCAGTATAAAAAAAACAACTACTGGAAAGCAGAACCAGCTCTACAGGAACAGCGTTCAGAAATGGTTTTCTATCCACTATCTTAACAAATTCCTACCTGGAATACTCTGATTTGACAAAGATTTTATGTGCTCTTCCAATTTCTGGCTTGCGGGAGTGATGGGGGGACTGAATGCATCCAACCAGTCTCTGAAAAACATAAACCAAATCAGAACTAAAGCACAGTTTGTGTTCCTGTTTGTGATTTTATTATTATAAATATATTATAAAACATATAGTTAATTTACAGCTAACACTGTTAAAAAAGTTAAGGCTTCCTTCCTTCCTTAGCATGTTCACACTGAAAATCTTCAGCTGGTATTACTCTCTCAACAAAAGGTGTGATCTATAATCCCCAGAGCTGTGCTCTGAAAGCTTATGGGACTCATCACAGTCCTTTGCTGTGGAACAGACCTGGGAGAAGCCACCTGTGTTTGATGACACCATAGAGGTCAAGCAAAAATCCTGGGGAAAAAGGCTTAATGGCAATTGCAAGAGCTGTGTTTGCTTACCATTGATTTGGCACTGCTTGGAGCCCGCTCTATAGGGTCATAGAATCACAGAAGCATAGGATTGTTAATGTTAGAAAAGACCACTAAGATCATCTAGTCCAACTGGGTGACCCAGCAAGTGTTAGTGTTATAAAATTTGTTATGTGTTATAGATAAAAATTTATTGTTGGCCATAACATAGTTCTAGTTGCTGACCATAAGACAGAGAACTCATCACAGCTGTCACAAATCTGTGTTGCTTCTAGAAAAAAAAAAGTTTTGATGTAATCTTTATCATAGATGAGAGAGTATGGGACTTCTTCACCTATTTAATTTTATAGGCAGTTTATGCTTCTGCTGAACACTGCTTTGTGACAGCTTTTAAAAATGATTTTCACATTATCATACATTGATGCAAAGTTCAGTGTTCATTTCCGATATGCCACTTTATGATATACTGCCTTTGATTGTTACAGCTCAAAAAAGGAAAACAGAACAGTCCTTTTTATTGTTATTGCTATTGCTTTTTATTGCAAGCTGAAAGGTAGACTTTTTCACTGAGAAAGTGGGTAGGAAGCACATGTGTGAGATTTCATTCAAGTTATACAGTCAGAGAAACACAGCCCTGCAGGGACACATCCAAGTCACAAAGTTCAGGCAATCCTTCTGCAGTTGACCACGTCTCACAATTTTTTTCATATAAGAAGCTAATCTCTGTACGCTGTGCATAGCTGATGTTTCATTATGTTCCCATCTCTCCTGCTCAACAGTTAAAAGCTATAACACATTCAGGCTTCCACATCACCATTAACTAAACTCAGTGATTGAAATTTAACATTTGAAATGGAATTCAAGGGACCTCAGTAAATCATCTCATTCTGATGGAACCAGATCCATCCTTTTTGACCAATATATTTCACTGCAAGGCAAAGGAAGTAGATGGAAAAAGGGGTCATTAAACTCCCCTGTGTTTGCTTCATGCTGGTGGAACAGTGCAGCTCTATTGAGTTAAGTTAGTTTGGAGTTAATTCAGTTTGTCTGGCCATGGCTGTTCAACAGTTGGTACAAGAACATTTTGTATCCAACTTGTGCTAGAGGCTAGAAAGATCAGCTAGGGCTGTGCAAGTAACTTCAGCTTCCAAGGATTCCTCTAGAAAGGATGAATTTTCCCAAAGCTTGACAGATTTCTTTACACCACCTGACTGTATCAATTGTCCAAGAAAACAGGTGATGTACTTCTACTTTCTGAAAAGCGTTGAAGATTTCATGTCAGATTCGTTTCTGACAGAGAAATCTGGAAAGGCTTAGGCATGTGCTGTAATTGCTAAAATATGCCAGTTGCTTTTTTGTTGGTTGTTGTTGGTTTTTCTGCTACTTCTGGACTTGTTGTTGATTCTACATCATCTCCTGCTGGCATGTACACATAATCTGGGGTGAATTTGGGGACAACCACCTATCAGTTAGCAGTCAAAATGGAAAAAACTAATTTTCTGCCTCAGAAAACAGAACTGCTTGTGTAGAAATCCAGCAAGTAGTATAGGAGATTTAAAGGAAAAGATACAGATTTTTCCATCATTTCAATATGTCAAAAACATGCTTCACATTTTTTTATCCCATCATTCCATTTTCACATATATGTCTGACTTCCAACCATTCCTCCTCTGCTGCTCTGCCAATGAGAGCTGGTACAACCCAAACACACAACATGCTTGCCCAGAGAACTCATTATTAGCTTTCTCTGTCATTGTGTACCATTTTTGTATTCCATGAATACACCCAAAGATTCTTCATTTACACCAAAACTTTGAAAGCTTTCAGGAACAGCAGTTAAGTAAATGCACATGATATCCAGTGGGATGGTAGAGGAAGGATGGTGCTTGGTCTCAGTCTGATTAACAAATGTAGTTAGAAAAGTAAAGAAGCATTAGAGCATATACACAGTTCTGCAGGTTTGGAAGAGTTTGAAGATACGTGTTTTTCATATAAAATATATTCCAGATTATTTCTAAAGAAAAAAAGGCAGTAGGTACCTGGAAATCAGAGAGGTTATTAGTAGGAAGGAAGGAAGGAAAGATGATAAGATAGTTATCTCTGAAGGAAAAGACAGAGACATTTCTTTCACAGAACACAGAAGGAGGAAGGGTGTGCCATTAAACCAGTATCTCTCTTAAATTCATAGTTCTTAATACTCCCATCTCTGCAGGGTCCTCCTGAAAGATTAAGTCTGAGAAATCAGAGGTTGGATGATTTGTCACTAGATTTTGTCCGTTATTTAGTTCTTCAGTTATTTAATTCTTGTGTAAATAAGTTGCTCACTTTCCTCCTTATATTTCTTTTGAGGCATCTGGATCAGTTGATGTGTTATTATTTGTTCTAGTAGGTGCTAGTGTAAGAGCTTGGGATTTTGGTGGTTCCAAAGGGAGGCAGAGGTATGGATTTATGGTGGATTTATGATTGATGCAATGGAGATGTGTGGCAAGTTTATTATTTCCTATTAAAACACTAAATTATTGTTAAAATATTTCTCATTATTAAAATATAAAAAAATTTACAAAAATATTTCTGGGGCAGACTTCTTTAAGAAGCTTCTTTATCTCCTCAAAGCAGAGAAGCTAATCAAGCACTCTGACTAATTAAAACACTCTATTTATGCTATCAATGCCTCAAGCTATAACCAATACAATCAACATGTAATAAACTATCTAGAGCTTCTCTGGTAACAATGCTGAATGCTAAGTATTGTCTTTTGACATTGTGAGTTTTGTTGTCCAAAGGCTCCCAACAGCTTTCGCACACATTCACACTGGCCAGCATCTTTAATGCTGGCACTGAAAGTCTCAACTATTTTCCAAGCTATTCTCCATACCAAGATACAGTAAAACTGTACTTGATATGCACTTGATATGATCTTGCCATGCCATAGTCTTCTCTATAAGAGAAGAAAACCTTTTGGAGAACGAATGTCATATATTGAAAGATCACACGATAGCTGAACTGTGATGGAAAACAGGAGTAATCTTTGGGACTTATCAACACTTTTTCAGTTTTATGACAGAAGATTTGCAGAAAGTGGCGTCCATTGGTAAAATCTATTGAGAAAATTAGCAATGCTTTTTTAAGCAGCTCTTAAACAAAGATTTAATCAGAGACAATCCCATATTAAAACTTTTCCATGAGCAATAATACCATCAACAGAAGAATGAATAATCAGAGGCTTTGATTTTAATCTTGATGAATACCGCTGATACTCTTATTTAGTTACAGATTTCTTCTTAGGCTGTCCTGCCTGGCTGGACTGAGAAAATGGCAAGCCTCATAATAAGAAGATTTTAAGCATTCCTGTGAATGGAGATAGTGCACTTTATCACTTTTCTTTTGGATAAGATTTAATTTCTACTACTTTAATCAATGGGATCATTTAATTCACATTATTAACAAAATTAAAATGCTTTGAAGTTTTAGTACAACAGCTTTGTCTGAGGGTCTGTGCAGGAATTAAAAGGAATATTCAAAATATGAGATCAACCCAGCAGTGCACTTAAGAAATGCAAGGTAAGTGCTGCACTGCATCAAACCAGGGATTGAAAAAGTGACATCAGTTTTGTATCAGGGACAAAACATGACGTGGACAGGTTACAAAGCATCTGAAGAGCACAATCAATAAAGAAAACAAAAGATGATATTTAGCTGCATAAAATTCTTAGGAAATTTTTATGAATACTGGAAGAGAACTTGGTCATGCCTGAGCAGTAACAAGAGGAGCACACCTGTGGAATTGGTTTTTTTTTACAATGAATAACTTGATTAACTTTGTGGAGGATCAGAGAATGCTCCTACATGAATCAAGACTACAAAAATATTTTTAGAGAAAAAAAGATCAGTTCTCAACAGGTTTTGCTACTGCCATCTAAAATCTTAGCACGTACTTCTGTTGTACTAATAAGATTTAACAACACTGAAACAGATTCTACTGCACATGCTCTAAGTAAATACCTTAGCAAGGTAGGTGAATGCAAAGTATGAACTCCTATATAAAAAAACAGTTCAGTGTAGCTTGGATATTTGTTATGGGTAAGATGAAGACTTATTTTTCCCCACTTTATTTGGATTTTTAATTATGTTTACTTAGAAGAGGTTGATAGAGATCAACTTAATACTAAAACAAGTCAGTCACCTAGCTCTGTGGGATAGCCCCTCACCCACTGCTCTATCTTTTTTGAAGACTCCATTACTTTTAGGCTCCTATAGCAGATCTGGATTTTCAGTTGTGTACGTACCTGCTGAACTTCAAGGTTATGTGGAACTTCATTAACTTACATCAGATTGCCTATAAACACTGATTTGGGTTCTGCTTTGTAATATATTATGTATGGATGTGTAATGAGATTTTTTTTAACAGAAACATTTCCACAGAAAGCCTTCAATATTAGTTTCAGTAGAGCAGCAAGGACTTCTGAAGGCTATTAACATTCAGATGTAGAAATCGAATTTCATGTGCAACCTGTATACATCTGTAACAACTCTGAAGCTGTCTTAGCCTTAAATTGTCCACTTTTGCATCTAAAAGCTTTAAGCAATTTCAGTTGTGAACATTCTTACAAATTCTCACAAAATATGCCCTAAATCAAAAAACATTCAGTATGAATTTTTAAATCAGTA